CCCCGGGGCTTTTAGATGTGTGGTTTCCCCCGGGGTTTTTGGTATTAGCGCTGGTTACCTGGGGGTTTTTAGTATTAGTGCTGTTTCCCGGGTTTTAGATTTATGTTGGTTTCCCTGGGGTTTTTGATATTTTTGCTGGTTACCTGGGGGTTTTTAGATATTAGTGCTGGTTTACCTGTGTTTTTAGATAATGTGGTTACCTGGGTTTTTAAATTTTTTGTGCTGGTTCCTGGTTTCTTTAAAATTAGTGCTGGTTACCCTGGGTTTCCGATATTATGCTGGTTTTCCCTGGGGTTTTAGGGATTAGTGTTTATTACCCCGGGTTTTTGATAGTGCTGGTTTTTCCCCGGGTTTCTAGATATTTGGTTACCCCGGGTTTCTGATTTCGTGGGTTTTCCTTGGGTTTCTAGATATTCCTGCTGGTTATCCGGGGTTTCTAGATATTAGTGATGGTTACCCTGGGTTTCTAGATATTAGTTATGGTTACCCTGGGTTTCTAGATGTTATTATTATTATTATAATCAAAAAGAAGCGCTAAGCCACAAGGACTATACAGTTCTAGATGTTAGTGATGGTTATCCTGGGTTTCTAGATATTAGTGATGGTTACCCTGGGTTTCTAGATATTAGTGATGGTTACCCTGGGTTTCTAGATATTAGTGATGGTTACCCTGGGTTTCTAGATAGTAATGCCAGTGTCTATGATTTCCAAATTGATAGTGCCGGTTGTCCTTGGTTTCTAGAGATTTAGCAGTGCCTTTTTAGTGGTTAAAGAGATGCCATAGATTACCAGCCTCCTCGGGTAGTGCCTTGATGCTGCGGAAGAGCTTTTGATGCAAGGAATTGGAGTTCCCTCCCTCCCGGATGAAACCTGGTCGCCTCTCATTCCTCATATGCAATTACAACCCGTATATACCTGTAGAGAGTTCCGGGGGTCAACGCCCCCGCGGCCCGGTCTGTGACCAGGCCTCATGGTGGATCAGGGCCTGATCAACCAGGCTGTTTCTATTCATCACTTTTATGTGGGGGGAGGTTCAACGCTAGGAGAATGGGAGGCAATCGGGAAGTGGAGGATAGAACCAGTCTCGTGGATCAAGAGCCCTTTCTTTGACGAGCCCTATGGGTTTAGAGCTTCCCTTGATGATAATGCGGGAGTTATGACTTATCTTTTAAGGAAAGATAAAACAGTATGAGTAAATTGACTTTCTGAATTTTAGTCTATAATTTATTAGTGTGTTAGCCTCAGCAAAGCCCCGCCCGTTGTACGGTTTGTCATTGTGTTATGACGATTTCGTGAGTCAAAACCAGGGTAAATTCGTGAGTGGTGGTGGTGGGGGGGGGGAGGGATGACTAATTTGGTCCTAAGATGAGTTGTATTACAATTACTTTCCCTTTGAAACTCCTCCTCTGTTAGTGTGACTTTGTCAATGGTCCAAGTCGGACCGAAACGTCGTCGTAAGCTTCTGTCTTTTATGTGCGGGTTATTTGTGTATCGTTCCAGTCACGGTATTGTGCCTTTTTGTTATTTATTTATTAATTAACGAGCTGCCTGAAGTGATCTCGGGGAACTTTTAGGAAGGTATTTTGACGTTAATAATCTAATAAAGGGGGGTTTAACTGACAACTGCTGTTTTATCTTGGTATGACAGTATTTATTTGTTAATTGCTTTTTATTGTTTGTTGATTTTTATCTTTGTGTTTTGTATATTCATTTATGCCTGTGAGTACCGGGTGACCTATGCCACCCAGGAGCTCCGTAAATGTCAGAACTATTATTACTGTTTCAAATTATTAAGCTTAGATAAACTATACATGTTGCATTATGTAAATTGTTAGTTTCTACACTTGTAAGGTTTTGAGTTTTGTTTATTAGCAACTGGCACAGGTGATTACTTCCTTGTCAGTCAGCCTGTCATGTCGTTCAGTCATGTCAGTCATGCCTCAGCCCGACCATCATACAGTCCTCCAGTTAAGTTTTTAATAGCGATTATAATCTTTAAAAAAATCTGTATAATAAAAAAATTGAAGTTAAAATGGTTAATTCATAAGCTTTAATTATTTAATAAAATTTAATTAAAATTTGTGATTTTATTTTGCATTACCGAGTTGGTGTTTCCTCATTATTATAATCAAAACCAAACGCTAAACCCACAAGGGTCATACAGCGCTGCTGTGTTTTCTTGTTAAGATTAGTTTTTATTAAACTATTTAACAGGTCTCAGCCTCCATAATCACTGCTAGGTATTTACTTCTATACATTGGGCAGTTGCACAAGAGACTCGTCTTGTATACACAACTTTGGCAGCTTATTTCAAGTAGACTCGGGGATAAAATTGTTATATGCTCAGTATTTTTGTCTGTGACTCTCCATATGTGTAATTGTGTGTGTGTTATATATATTTGCTTAAGATTCATCCTTTTTCTGCAACATTGCAAGCTCCTGATGTATCGATTGCTACACGAAAGGCCTAGAGCCATTTAACTCCCCCATGGCTGTTTTGCATATATTATATAATTTCTCTCCCCCCCCCTCAACAAGTTGGCCACCTCCCACCGAGGCAGGGTGACCCAAAAAGAAAGAAAATCCCCAAAAAGAAAATACTTTTATCATCATTCAGCACTTTCACCACACTCACACATAATCACTGTTTTTGCAGAGGTACCCAGACACAACAGTGTAGAAGCATATATAAAGATATATAACATATCCCTCCAAACTGCCAATATCCCGAACCCCTCCTTTAAAGTGCAGGCATTGTACTTCCCATTTCCAGGACTCGAGTCCGGCTATATAAAAAAATAACTGGTTTCCCTGAATCCCTTCACAATATTACCCTGCAAACACTCCAACAGCTCGTCAGATCCCAAATACCATTAGTCTCCATTCATTCCTAACACACTCACGCACGCTAGCTGGAAGTCCAAGCCCCTCGCGCACGAAACCAACTTTACACCCTCCCTCCAACCTTTTCGAGGATGACCCCTACCTCGCCTTCCTTCCCTTGCAGATTTATATGCTCTCCATGTCATTCTACTTTGATCCATTCTCTATAAATGACCAAACCACCTCAACAACCCCTCTTCAGCCCTCTGGTTAATACTTTTATTAACTCCACACCTTCGCCTAATTTCCACACTCCGAATTTTCTATATAATATTTACACTACACATTGCCCTTAGACAGGACATCTCCACTGCCTCCAACTGCCTCCTTGCTGCAGCATTTACAACTCAAGCTTCACACCCATATAAGAGAGTTGGTAATACTATACTTTCATACATTCCCTTCTTTCCCTCCATAGATAACGTTTTTTGTCTCCACATATACCTCAATGCACCACTCACCTTTATTCCTTCATCAATTCTATGATTAACCTCATCCTTCATAAATCCATCTGCTGACAAGTCAACTCCCAAATATCTGAAAACATTCACTTCTTCTATACTACTCCTGCCCAATTTGATATCCAATTTTTCTTTATCTAATTCATTTGATACCCTCACCACCTCACTCTTTTCTATGTTCACTTTCAACTTTCTACCTTTACACACACTCCCAAACTCATCCACTAACCTTTGCAATTTTTCTTTAGAATCTCCCATAAGCACAGTATCATCAGCAAAAAGCAACTGTGTCAATTCCCATTTTGTATTTAATTCCCTATAATTTAATCCCACGCCTCTTCCGAACACCCTAGCATTTACTTCTTTTACAACCCCATCTATAAATATATATATATATATATCTATATAGTATTTTTTTTTTTGTTTCTTTCCAACAAGTCGGCCGTCTCCCACCGTATATATGTATATATAATGTGTGTGTGTGTGTTATGCCAAGTAGGTAAAAATTGTGATTCCGGCTTAAATAACAATGGAAATAAGTCACTCTGTCTGACTTTTTTGGGTTATCCTAGGTTCTCTACACATATGCTGCTATGTATGATAATTCTATGTAACTGTATTTGTGTATACCTGAATAAACTTACTTACTTACTTATTCTTGCTGAATAAGGCAAGTGAAAATTTGTGTATGCAGTAATTTCGCAAAAATCATTCTGAACCTAATATATTTCAGTGTTAAATTATTGTAAACTTATCTAAAATATACTTACATAGTTGGATTACACTAAATTAAATTGCACTTGTTATAATGAGGTTAGGTAAGTTTTCTAAGACCCGGGCCGGGAGAATACCGGCGAATAAAAAAAAAAAAAAAAGTTTTTGGTACGCATTATTATTATAATCAAAAAGAAGCGCTAAGCCACAAGGGCTATACAGCGCTGCTTTTGGTACAAAATTATGTATTAATTTTTACATGAACATAAATGAAAAAATATATCTTTAAACATATAATACAAAATTTTAGAAAGGACTTGATTTTAAATGTTCTTGCTAATTGACCAATTTTACCTATTCAGCACAATTCATATACATATATATATATATACAGTGGACCCCCGCATAACGATCACCACCGAATGCGACCAATTATGTAAGTGTATTTATGTAAGTGTGTTTGTACGTGTATGTTTGGGGGTCTGAAATGGACCATCTACTTCACAATATTCCTTATGGGAACAAATTCGGTCAGTACTGGCACCTGAACATACTTCTGGAGTGAAAAAATATCGTTAACCGGGGGTCCACTGTATATATATACTATATACATGTATATACTGTATATACCCTGGTGAAAGGAATGTATATTTTTGTATAACCTTTGATTTTAACAAAATGTGTGGATTATTTTTATGGCATAACTTGCTTGAACATTTTATGGTGCTCTAAACCCATAAGGGTCATATGCAGGACCTGGGGAAATTGGCAGTTATCAAGTTTGGTCCAAGGATGGGGGAGAATAGCTCCGCTTATGTGAATAAAGAGTCCTTCATCGGCACCAAGACAACCCTCTTTTTTCTTTTTTTCCACAAGGGCTTTTTCCTAAACTTTAATTTCTAAATATGGTTTCGTAATTCTTATGAAGTCTGGTTATCGCAGGAGAGTTTGCCGAGGCGCGAGAAGACTTAGCAGCGCTGGAGATGGATTACCAGGAAGTGGAACAGAACCCACCTGAAGAAAATGAAGACAATGATTACTAGATGCAGCTCCACAATGATTACCAGCTGCTGCTTGATAATGATTACCAGCTGCTGCTTGATAATGATTACCAGCTGCTCCTTGATAATGATTACCAGCTGCTCCTTGATAATGGTTACCAGCTTTTTGACAATGGTTGCTAGCTGCTATTTGATAATGGTTACTATATTGTACAGGGTATGGAGATACTGACAAGAAGTGGAAGACACGTACTTTTATGACTTTAAAGAAAACATTTTACCAAGAGTGTCTTCATCAGTTCTAATAGAGACGGAGGTAGGCAACATGAAACGAGAAGGCAGTCATTTGCTGCCAGGAGTGGAATCACTACTGCCAGCTTGTAATGCCGTTTGTAAAATAGTATACTGTGGTGGCTGTGTCTTGGCTGGCCAACAAATTAATTGCTACACAGAGATAAAACTCGTGGAACAGGGAGTGTGTGGACCTAGTAACGACCAACGAAGCAGGAGGGCCAAGAGCTGTGGCTCAACCCCTGCAACCACAAATAAGCGAGTGTGTGAATTCTGTGGGATGGTGTTTGAGATCCTAATGAGGTTTGATAAACTAATCATCCATGAAAATAACCTGTGCTGACAGAAATGCTTAGTAGGCTCCCTTAGAGCAATCTCAAACACCATCCCACAGAGGTCAGGCAGTTTTGGTGTCTTTTAAATAATGTATTTGGCAATTAACTTGTTACCCAACCTTGATACAGCAATCATGCAACACCAACTCGTGTGTACCATCCCGTGGTATCCACTACTCATCAAGTGACCCCAGCCGATTGCTGTACCACTTCATGTTGCCTGTCTTCAACTACTATGTATGCTCCAGTCTTAGTCATCTGTTATGGGATGATAAGCCATCTTGATAAAATGCATGTACTGTAATACCGAAGAGATGACGAACAAAACACGTGCAACACCTGGGTATCTTTATTTCGTAGACACCAGGACCTTTATCAATCTAACAGACATGAGAAAGGCTTTTATAGGGAAGCCAGGAAGGTGGTGATGGTAGCAGTCACAGCATGGTAGAGGCTTGCTAGTGGAGATGTAATTTTATTTGATAACTATGGAAGTAGTGGACAGGTTTGATGAGCAATACAGCCTTTCCTCACTTAACGACGGAGTGCCATTCCTAAGATGTCGGTAAATGAATTCGTCACTAAGCTTGGAGCATACTATAATGGTAGTAGGTTTGTCAACCACCTTTGATATTGTTTTACTGTCACAGTTGCACCATTTATAACTTTTTTGTATATTTTTAAAAGTTTATACAGTAGTGTACTGTATATTGTAATAAAAAGAATAGAGGAAATCAGCTCTAATATACATTTATGTATGTATACTGGTCAGAAAGCCAGTCGTAAGTCCGTAAGTCAGTAAACGAGTATGTCGCTAAGTGAGGAGAGGCTGTATAATAGGAACAGTAGTAGTAATAATACCAATAGTGGTGGTGATGGTAGTCGCCTAATCTTATGTGACCTCTGGTTCAACTACACACCCTTACTTTCACCTCTGGTTCCACTACATCTCATTTTTCATGGTTTGTATTGGATAAATAAAGCCCCCTCATGGAGAAAGTATCACTTGTGCCCAAATATTTCTCGTGTTTTATTTATCAAGTAACTGATAAAACAAGTAACATGGGGGTCTCTTGGTTTTAGTTTAGTTTAATATATTTATTATGTACCCCATAGCCATCCTGCGGGTAGTAGTCAAAAGATTACAGAGGCACGTAATGGTAATGAGCTATTTACATGCTTATATCTGGTAATATAATGAGTTACAGTGACATGAACCATCACAAAAATATTAGTGTAGTTATATATGGTTCTGAGTTATTTTCATTACTAAATTATTTAAGCAAAGTACGGGTGAGAAAAATATGGGAAATAGTAGCTAGTAATAGTTTAATTTTAATGTTAGATGGACAAAACAGTTAATACATAGGTCAAACATTGTTTAAAGGTAGGATATAAATCAAACAATTTTGTTTATAGGTGGGTAGGATAGAGATAAGACAGAATACAAATGCAGACTGGTAGAATGTTATATGCATGGAGAAGCACTCCATCTATAAGGGTCATAGTGTTCAGGGAGGAGGGGGAGGTAATCATGTTCAATTCAAAGGGAGAGTTGCTCTAGCACCTTGGATAAAGAGCCCTTGGCAGAATTGAGGGACTTCCACAAATCCTTGAAAGGGTGGAAGAAAGCTTGTAATGGGTGGGAGGTAGTTGACATGAATGCATGTGAATGACCAGTAAAATGCTTTAACTTTTTGGGAGGATTGGGGGCATTGAACCCATAAGGGCTGTACAGTGCCTGGAGAACTGGGGGCAATTAAATTCAATCCCATGAATTAAAAGCCCCTCTCACCATGAGGAATGGTAGAATGTTAAGAGGTGGGTGGGAGACAGTCAACAAGCAAAATGCACGTGAAGGACTGACAGAACAGTAACAGATTGGTTGGTTAATGGGGTTGAAAACCTATCAATTTAATGAAGGGTGTAGTGTCACAGGTCCCCTGTTCTCCACACAGTCAAAATACTTTAATCCCTTAAATAGGGGAATAAGTTAATCTCAGCACATGCACGAGAAACGTACAATTCTATGTATATGTGGTCGATAACACTGTGCATCAGTGCTTTCCTAGCGTTAGTTTCTTAAGCTGTGCTTCAAAAGTTTCAAAATGCTTACACAATCTAATATATTGGTCTTACTAGAAGTAAATTTAATGCTCTTTTTAATCATAAGTAAAACCATGTCATCAGAATTTTGACAGTTTAAGGAAATGCTCAACATGTACATAAAAATTGTTATATACATACTGTATATGAATTATAAATCCTCTCATAATTAGTCAATATGCAGTGCTGTAAATGATAATATACTGAAAGTTCAAAATAATGTATAGATTAATGTATAATAGGAATAAAGTACCTTGTTTACAAATTATGCATTTAATATACATCCACATGGAATGATTTAACGTGGATGCTGGTGGTTTATCATGCATCTATATTTAGCTTTTTTTTTTGAATTTCAATACAATGCTCTCTACATACTAAAGACAACGAAATCTTGTATTTTAACGATGATGCATATATGTTTAGAGGATTTAGAACTGGTCCATTCTACATTTAACTATAATTAAACTTTCATACCAGACAGCCAAAAAACATTAAACTAACATCGATGTTGCTTGTAACATTTACGTACGAGACATTTCATTTCTTCTAGAAATCTATTCAGTTTGCTTTGCTGCACTGAAATTATGCTCTGCAACCCTTGTAGGTTTAGCACTTCTGATTATAATAATAATGCAATGAAATTGTTAGCTTAGCAGTAAAGTAATTTTAAAACCATTCTTCTGAATCAAGATTGCAATCTTCTGTAATTTTAAATTTTTACCAAGCTGAACAAGTTGTATATTAGTTTTACTATTTTATTAATGGCACTCGCTGGACAGTGCCTGTCAGTACAGGTTTCCCTTGCATTATGCTGTTATGTGACATCCCAATTTTATTATGTACAAGAGAGTGGCCCCTGCTTATACAGCAGGTAAGGTTCTGGGCTACTGCTGTAAAGTGAAACATAGCCTTTTTCACTTTAAAATGCATATAAAAGCCTGATAACATATTTACACTATCATACTTTAAGTGAGCACTAGAGCTAGGCCTAAAAAATGCACATACAGTATACACTTTACTTATAATATTTTTGTCCCTAGCTATTAGCGAGGTGAATATATTGTAGGAAGTCTGAATAAATGAAGAATGGGTATATGTAATTGAAAACTGCTGCATTAGTGAATCCCCATAAAGCAAAGCACTGTAAAACGGGGTTTGCCTGTATGTGCAACAGACATTCACTGCACACAATTAGTGCACTTTCCAAAGTATTAACAAGAGTGGTTATGCAGAATTACCCCTAGAGAGTGAGGTAATCTTGATCACAGGACTGGACTTACCCCTCCCTTCCTTAGATTGAGCCTGATTGACTCCCCATGTGGGTTTAGAGCTTTCCAATTATTAAAATAAAAAATTACGTGGAATTGTGCTGATGGTGTGAGTGAGTGTAGTAAAGTTACCATTGGCTTGAAATGTATCTAAATGCATAAGTGAGGGACACCTGTACTCAAACGAATTGTCTTTTACCCAAAACAATGGGAACACAATCGTTCATAAACTGGGAATTCCTGAATGTGTGTTAATGGTAACTCTGTGACATTTATCACAGTGTGTGTGATGTTGCCAAGCCATGATTTGCTCAATAAAATTGAAAAATACTAATTGTAAAAATTATTCTTCTCAATTATTTACCTACTATCTGAGGCCTGGTCATGGACTGGGCCATGGGGCGCTGACCCCCAGAAACATCAACTGTTTCTCTCTACAAGCTCTGCAATGGCAGGAAATACTCATCAGTCATGGTAGCATCAACTATCTACTTCACCATACGAGTCCCATCTGGGTGTGGATGCTACTGCCATGCCAGTGGATTGAGTGAGAATCAAGTCTATCAGAGGAGGAATCAATGATACAAAAAATAAAAAAAAGGAAATAAGTCACTGCTGTATGGACAGAACTGAACATCAAATTCTCTATCCTCTTAAGAGTTCAGGTTCCCTCATCACTGACTGCTTCAGTGATTCAGATATCAACCTAATCATTGCTACCCTTGCAGTGAAGCTACCAAAGGGCAACCCCTCTAGGAAGACATCTTGATGCTAGTAAGGGAGCTCTTGATCCAAGGAATTGGACCTGCCCTCCCCTCCCAGGCACTATAACCCAAATGGGTTAAGTGTTCTCATATGAATGTAACAATAATAATACTGAAGAGCAAGGACTAAGAGGTCATTTTTTTTTTTAAGAGGTCATATTACAATCAATTCCGAAGGCCAAGAAATTAATCCTCAGACTAAATAAAACAGAAAACCTAAAAACCGTTCCCTCTTCAAGTTTCACCTTCAGAAAGGTCTTTTCTATTTCTGTTTGCTTGATAATTTTGAAACAAACCATAATTCAATGACAATTCCTTTACAAGATAACTTTACTAGGCTGGTGCACCATTTCAACTTTTTAATTTAATCCTATCTGTTGAAAGCAAATGAATTATAAAATCAGTAATACCAGTGATGTTATCAAATTATTGTTGCAGCAATCCAACAGTATACAGCCACAGAACCCCAGGTACTGTAGAAAGATCATTTATATTTTTTAACTCAAGACAGGGGAACCCAAAAAAAAGAAAACTTATTCACCCAATCAGAATCTTTCCAGAAGTGTGCTGACGCCCCAATCAGATTACCTTCTCCGGGCATAACATCCCCCACTATATAATGAAAATAATTTGATAATAAAACATTTTTCCATTAATATTACATATACTTGTACAAATAATATTCATATATTTATAAATGTGTATACAGACAGAGGCTTCACATACATTTTTACATTCAATAAACCCAATATATCACAGTTCTCTGCAGAACTAATATATTCTGCAATTGGTAAATTAAAAAGTTTTGCAAACTTAAACACAGGTTCAATACATGTGTATATATGTATATACAAAATTGAATTTATTGGAAAAGTATATTCAATTACTTTGTTGTAAATTTAAGTACATTAGGACACCATAGGAAAAGCTCAAGATTTAAATCTGCACACGTGATTCAATGTATCTTCAATTTACAAGATTATGTACATAACATCCTACCCTGTACGAAAACCCTCATAGCTCTAGGTATGAAGCTGGATTTTGGGAGAGGATAAATCGTAAGGCATGTTTATCACAAATGTTATGTTTTGAATGGTTACCTTATTGCACACAGATCCTGGGCTAGATAATGCCATTTAATAACTAACAATTTATATAGCCTAGCTTTTTTAATTCAGCACCTATCAACAGTTTACAGAAAAAATGTATATATTCACGTACCCCTTCATGATACCCCATCGTTTATCTAACTGATCATGACAATAAAGCACAAAAAGTCATCATTAATCAAACAAATGATTACTGTCATATGACAAAGCAGAAAAAATCATCATTAATCAAGGTAATGATTTTTGTCTTTAATCAAACAGCAAGTTACTATGTGATCTGCCATGTCTTCTCAAATCTCCACATAATCATTCTCAAATTATTTATTATTTCTCTATATTGTTCCATGCTACAGCTTTTATATTCATATTTGACTTTCTGTAGTTATGCTTGACCCTTGTATACTTGCCAAGGCAAACTGCATTCCTATTCACTGCTCTTCCAATGGAGGGTGCAAAGTGCTGCTAATAATGTTCGTCTTCCAGAACATTCAACTGATTTTCTATATGAAGAGGAGCCAAGAGTATGTCATTCGAGACATCCATCTTGCTTCCTCTACATTCAAACCACAGCTGCCTATAAAAAAAGAAAAGCTAAATATCAGAGGCACATATTCTGGGTGTGCTAGGTGAGAACTGCGCACCCACTAAAGATGGTAAATTCATCATAAATATTAAGTTGACTCAATAATATAATCATGGATCATAATGGGAAAATAATTTTTGCTCCTTGAAATTTCTTCTAAACCATTTGGCTATACTGATGCTCTGAGTAATACCTATGCCACAGTAGTAGGTTTAGCACAGAGCACACCCTGTGACAATAACCACTATACGCTATTGATAAATATTGTCATTATTAACCATATTATCATAAACAAAACACAAGATTCCACAAAAGATCTTGAAAAATTTGGGCACCATGTGTGTGATTTGATTAGCACCCAGAAAAAAAAAGTCCCCACTTACATTACTATACAAGAGCAAAAATGACAATGAACTAGTTTCATATTTATATACATAGTCTCAATAGAATATGATAAACTGATCCCATCAGCAAATATATAAGGCAGGTAAAGAGCTTGAACATCCCACAGTTCCTATATCATTTAATTTAAGGGCATAACTAAGGTATAGTTATCTTAACTTCAGATGCATAACTATTGTATAATAATAATATTTATAATTGCTTAAGAGAACACAAAATAATTGTATTAAGATAAACTCAAGTGTATGGTTATGAGAACAAAATATATTGGAGAAACCCACTGTCTATAAGTTGCAATCATAGAATAACTATAATACTTAAAAAATTCTCAATCATTTTTCACATGTTTGCTACTGCTGCAGTGTCATTAATACCTGAGTGCATGTTAATGGTCAATACTGGAATTTTGGGGGGAAAAAATCTAAGCATGGGCTACCCAATTAGGACAGTCCCAATAAAAGTTCTGTAATGTGTGTGTTGTCTTCACTACTGTCAGCAACTCAGTATTAAGATCCAGTTTGGACAGCTGACACTCATACAAAATGAAAAAAGTTTTGACTGCAAAATGTTCTCATAAAAAATTATACGAGGTCACTGAACTAATTATGTGATATTAGACGAAATTATCAAATGATATTGTGTGAATCACTTTTAGAATACTGACATAATTAAAACAAATTACAAATTATTCCCAATACAGTGGGACCTCGACTTAGGAGTGTCCCAATATATGAGTTTTTCGAGATATGAGCCATCGCTCGATCGACTTTTTGCTGAGTTACGAGCAAACTTCCCCCCCCTCCTTGCCTTCCCCTCAACCCACAACCCGCACACCTCACTTGTTTATCTGTGATTTCGTGCTTTAATTCCATTAACATCATCCTCTTTTCCTTCTCACCACTGTCCTTTGCACTTATTTTCTTAGGACCCATGGTTAGAAAAAAGAAATTTGGCAAAAAAACTGTAAAAATGCAACAGAGCTCTCATTATTATTTTTTTTTTTCAACAAGTCAACCATCTCCCACTGAGGCAGGGAGACCCAAAAAGAAAATACTTTCATCATCATTCAACACTTTCACCTCACTCATATATAATCGCTGTCTTTGCAGAGGCGCTCATATACGACAGTTTATAAGTCCCTCCAAATCGTCAATATCCCAGACCCCTCATTTAAACTGCAGGCATTGTACTTCCCATTTCCAGGAATCAAGTCCAGCTAAATCTATAATAACCGGATATTTCCCTGAATCCCTTCACTAAATATTACCCTGCTCACACTCCAACAGCTCGTCAAGTCCCGAAAACTATTCGTCTCCATTTACTCCTAACACGCTCATACATGCTTCCTGGAAGTCCAAGCCCCTCGCCCACAAAATCTCCTTTACCCCCCTCCCTCCAACCTTTTCAAGGACGACCCCTACCCCTCCTTCCTTCCCCTACAGATTTATACGCTCTCCAAGGCATTCTACTTTGATCCATTATCTCTAAATGATCAAATCACCTCAACAACCCCTCTTCAGCCCTCTGACTAATACTTTTAGTAACTCCACACCTCCTCCTAATTTCCACACTCCAAATTTTCTGCATAATATTTACACTACACACTGCTCTTAGATAGGACATCTCCACTGCATCCAACTGCCTCTTCACTGCAGCATTTACAACTCAAGCTTCACATCCATATAAGAGAGTTGGTATCACTACACTTTCATACATTCCCTTCTTTGCCTCCATAGATAAAGTTTTTTTGTCTCCACATACACCTCAATGCACCACTCACATTTTTTCCTTCATCAATTCTATAGTTAACCTCATCCTTCATAAATGCATCTGCTGACAAGTCAGCTCCCAAATATCTGAAAATGTTCACGTCTTCCATACTCCCTCTCTCCAATATGATATCCAATTTTTCTTTATCTAAATCATTTGATACCCTCATCACCTTACTTTTATCTGTTCACTTTCAACTTTCTACCCTTACAAACCCTCCCAAACTCGTCTACTAATCACTGCAACTTTTCTTTAGAATCTCCCATAAGTACAGTATCATCAGCAAAAAGTAACTGTGTCAACTCTCATTTTGAACTTGATTCTCCATAATTAAATCCCACTCCTCTCCCCAACACCCTAGCATTTACTTCTTTTACAAAAAAAGCATTTTAGCCACCCTTGAAGCACTGTCCATATATATATATTACTAAACAAGTGTATTAATATCAGTATACAAAGGTAGATGTTATTACAGAGGAGAGAAGCAGAAAAATCTGTGCTCTGTAATAACATCCACCTGGACAGACTCACTCATTATAATAATAATAACTATTATTATTATTATTATTACTAATTTAGGGAACTGGAGCACAGATCAAATTCCCTAGATCGTCAAACCCCTCACCAGCGTCAAGGAACCTTGACGCCCGAGAGGGGCTCTTGATCTAGGGAACTGGATCTGTGCTCCAGTTCCTAAATTAATAATAATAATAATAATAATAATTATATTATTATTACTATTTCTTTCTTTCAACACACTGGCCGTATCCCACCGAGGCGGGGTGGCCCAAAAGGAGAAACGAAAGTTTCTCCTTGCACATTTAGTAATATATACAGGAGAAGGGGTTACTAGCCCCTTGTTCCCAGCATTTTAGTCGCTCTTACAACACGCATGGCTTATGGAGGAAGAATTCTGTTCCACTTCCCCATGGAGATAAGAGGAAATAAACAAGAACAAGAACTAGAAAGAAAATAGCAGAAAACCCAGAGGGGTGTGTATATATATATATATATATATATATGCTTGTACACGTATGTGTAGTGTGACCTAAGTGTAAGTAGGAGCAGCAAGACGTACCTGTAATCTTGCATATTTATGAGACAGACAAAAGACACCAGCAATCCTACCATCACGTAAAACAATTACAGGCTTTCGTTTTACACTCACTTGGCAGGATGGTAGTGCCTCCCTGGATGGTTGCTGTCTACCAACCTACTTTTTTCTTTCTTTCAACACACCGGCCGTATCCCACCGAGGCGGGGTGGCCCAAAAGGAAAAACAAAAGCTTCTCCTTTTAAATTTAGTAATATATACAGGAGAAGGGGTTACTAGACCCTTGCTCCTGGCATTTTAGTCGCCTCTTACAACACGCATGGCTTACGGAGGAAGAATTCTGTTTCACTTCCCCATGGAGGTAAGAGGAAATGAACAAGAACAAGAACTAGTAAGAAAAATGGAAGAAAACCCAGAGGGGTGTGTATATATATGCTTGTACATGTATGTGTAGTGTGACCTAAGTGTAAGTAGAAGTAGTAAGATGGGGTGTACCTGAAACCTTGCATGTTTATGAGACAGAAAAATGGACACCAGCAATCCTACCATCATGTAAAACAATTACAGGCTTTTGTTTTACACTCACTTGGCAGGACAGTAGTACCTCCCTGGATGGTTGCTGTCTACCAACCTACTACCTTTAATAATTACTATTATTATAATAATAATGAGTGAGCTTCAGAAGACCGCCGCTAGGTGTTGCAGCAAACGCCACAACATCAGCAGAGCTGTGCATGTGTATATGTCGCTGTGGAAGCATTTCTCGTGTTATTACTGCCAAATTTCTTTTTTCTAACCATGGGTCATAAGAAAGCAAGTGCAAAGGACAGTGCTGAGGAAAAAAAGAGAATGATGTCCATGGAATTACAGCATGAAATCATAGATAAACAAGCGAGGTGTGCGGGTGGCAGTACGAGCTAGTGGCAAGTAGCCTATCTTCCACTCTCCACCTTCACTAGCGTATGTACACTTTATAAAACCACTTTTTTACATTCTCTATTATGCTTTTATACAATATTTCTTATTTATACATGCATTCAGTGTTTTCCTTATGAAACTAGTGATTAGTGCAGTTAGCCTCACAAACACTCTATTTTCTCTTACAATAAGAGCATGAGAAGATATGGTCAGAGCGGGAGAGGGAATGGACACCGCCACCACCACTCTCCATATTATGGTCTATTGTATTCATTCTAGAGTATATATCATGTTTCAACGTTAATTATACTGTTTATGTCATATGAGATGAATTGTGATAGATAAATAAGCCGTAGAGTTGATATTAGTGTCATATTGAAGTATTTTTGTCCTGCCTCAAGAGAGCAGGAATTCTGCTGGAATGGATTAATGGTATTTCAATTAATTTAAATGAAGAAAATTTATTTGATATACAAGCAAATTGAGTTATGAGCTTGGTCACAGAACTGATTAAACTCATAAGTCGAGTCCCACTGTACTGCAGTCCTTGTGGAATTCTAAACTTTAATATCCATACACTGTGTTGTACCTGCAACTGATTTCGAAAGCTCTTCTATCCTTGCAAACCAGGTGGCCTCATGTCTGACTTCTTTATTGACTGCTTAGTCAAGCAGGCTGTTGCTGCCAGCAGTCCACAAGCCTACATAGCCATTACCACTTTACTGACCAGGTCTGTGATATATAAGCACACATCATTTCACAATGGCTGTTCAGAATACAACTACATTTTCCTTTTCTAGCAATTCTTTTCTTTCGACGTACCGTATCCCACCGAGGCAGGGTGGCCCAAAAGGAAAAACGAAAGTTTCACCTTTTAAATTTAGTAATGAATACAGGAGAAGGGGTTACTAGCCCCTTGCTCCCTTTTCTAGCAATTGTCATTATTAAAATACTGTTTGAACATAAAATTATTTACAGTACATCTGCTATCTGTTTACTATTTTGTGTGCTTAATTAGATAGATAATCCATTTTTAAAGTGAAGAAATTCTAGATTAAGTTATCCTGTATGCACATTCATCTCAAAAAGCAAGTGAAGATACAAATATTGAAATGTGATGAGAAGCAATTAAACCTTATATACAAAAATGGAAGCACATGTTAAAATATGTTCTGGCATTTATGAATAAAAGTAACTTTGATAAATATAAAATATACTTTCTTCTTGCATCCAAATACTATAAATGGTTACTTACAGTTAACAGTCATCTATTAAGTTACAATAATATTTACTATAGTATATACAGTATTTATTGAATAAGTTATATAGACTAGTATATACAATATTTGCCTAAGATGTATACTGATAAACAGAAACTGGAATAAAATAACACACTTTACTGCAGCATGGAATCTTTATATGTGACAACTTTTCACTTAATTTACAACCTTTTTCAAGCAAATCATTGACGTACACAGCATGAATGGTCCATACTAGGTTAAGTGTTTCATTTTATTCACAAACCATTCCACCTGAAATAACCACTGATAACATAAGGCTTGAACAGTGGTATATCTCCAAGTCCCACCTCTTGCATTACAAAGTGTGTTCATACTAAATGAGGTTAAGATACTGAATGAGATTTTCTTTTTTTAATGCACCGGCCATCTCCCACCAAACGTAGGGTGACCTAAAAAGAAAAACTAAAGTTTTCTTTTTAGGTCATGAAAGATTTTTTTTTTTTTACATGGTAATTTATACAAGAGTTACTGACTACTTGTTTCCAGCATTTTAGTCACCTCTTACGACATACATGCATGGCTTAGAGGAAATATTCTACTTCCTCATGATATAATTACCCAATAAAAAAAATCAACGAAGAATGTTTCAGATTCTTTTGTTAACCTATGGACATTATTTATTGCTACATAAAACCTGCTTTTACGTAAAATTACCGTTCATATATGTGTAAACAGAGGAAATATCCGTCCTGTCCTCTTTAAAGCAGAAGCCCATCGTTCAACCCCAAGGATCATAACAGGACAAACTAAGTGGCTCAATTACCCCACCCACACATTCACAACATGTACACAGACAGCATTCACAATAAATCCCCTTTCTCCAACAATAGTTAACTATCACTAACTCCCATCCATTAACAATTTCCCATAATGCCCCTACACATTAACACTGCAAATCAATTTCTCCAATTATACTGAGGCAAATGCACTTTTTCCTACGTGTTACCTCCCATGAACTCTCACACATCACTAAAAAAGCATTCTGAGAATCATTGCAGATAACTCCAACCCCATTTCACTATATCTATAGCACCTAAGTGCACCCTTAACTACACACTCAAGGCTAAACTCTCCTTCATTACTAACTCTTCCTTCCCTTATCTCATACCAACTTTTTCCTAGATTCTTCATTCATCTACACTATATGATTTCCATATTTCACTCTATACAATTTACAATCTCTTACAACAATTAATGTTCAATACAATACCCAATTACTGACTCCCTCAATGCATCCCCCAAGCTTCTCCCTAGTCAAATTATGCTTAAATATATACCACCCCAGCTTCACTGAACCACATCATCATATACACTAAGTTCCTCTACAGGACACCATCAACCCCAACTTAACATATCTGCAAGTCCCATCAATTTCTCGAGTTCCAACACCCCCATAGGGTCTCTGTACTCATTCAAAATCAGACATATCCTGGTCAAGCAGAAACATTCAACAAAGTAATGTATACATAGATATGATAGATAACCTAAGACAACTATGGATGTAACTTTCTTGTAGGTTACTACATGAAGAGGAAGGAGAAAAAGGTAACGGAGTAGCAAGCCTTATTACAAAATAGGTAAAAATTGAAGAAATGCAAATTCTAGACTGTAACAGTTTTACAAATTATATATTTGGTTCAACTTACTACAGGTTATCCCAGGGTCTCCACAGCTGTCATTTATATCCTGCCACCAAACAACAGAGAACCCCCCAAAATAAATCAGAAACAACACAATAACAAACAGAAAAAAGTAGTTATTAATTACTGGGCTAAATGATTACAGCAGAAAATTTAAACCATGGGGATTACAACCTGTCGGTATTTTATACCATTTTAATGTTCAAACCATGGGGATACAGAATGCATGGGAAAATAATGGAATGAGCAGGATGAGGAAGTGGTGAAGGCAAACTCTTAACACATTTCACAAACAGGTATAACATGCCTAAGAGGCCAGGAACCAGTAATGCCACCCAACCTAGCTTAAGAGGCAGAATCATGATATGAAACTCAATCAATGCCAACACAAACTGGCAAGTACAAATTGGTGTGTACACTCTTGGGACAAACCTGGAATGTATATATTTATATATATACAGTATGCACTTTTCTCACATACAGCTGCTGACCTTAATATTCATATTGCTTGCTTCGTAAAACAACAAATAAGCTGCCGAGGACTTAACAGTGTCTCGTGAGATATCATAAACTTCATGGTCATCAAATTTGTACCACTGTTTATTGTGAGATGATTTGCAGAATGCTGTGTAGTGACCGCCATCCATAGTACCGTAGTGGTTAGATACTCCATAAAGATCATACTTGGTGTACCTGCAAAAAAAAAAAAAAAAATGCACACAAGAAAGAGGAGGGAGATGGAGAAAGAATATCACATGAAAGATAGAAAATGGTAGTAAGGAAGGAATGATAATTTCTGGAAGCTGTAGGTGTGTACAATTATTCGAAGTTGTAGTGTGTATAATTACTGGAAGTTATGTGTAAAAAAAAAAAAAAAAAAAAGTAAAATAAGGTGCATGGAGAAACGTAAAAAATTAATTACCATGTTGTAGGTGCAGATGTGTAACTTAGGAAGTTTGTAAGTTGGGGTTCCCTTGTATGTAAGGAAGTGGAAGGGAGGTGATATGAGGGTATGAAAGGAGGGAGGGAAAAGTAAGAAAGAAGGATGGTGAAAGAGAAAGCAGTGATAAGAGAAATAAAACAATAGGATGTGAACACAGAAAAAAGATAGGAAATTATGTATGACAATCTATGTAACTGTATTTGTGTATACCTGAATAAACTTAGTTACTTACTTATGAGTGGAATAAAGAGAGGAGTGGAAGTGACTGAGCCGTGATGGTGTTGACCCCCAAAAGCCCCTTCAGGTATTCAGGTATAAGGAAGAAACTAAGGGAAATAAGAAACGAAGTTATGGGGAAAAGGGAGTGGGGAAATAAAGCTAGAAGGTGCTTGGGAAAAGGAAAATAGAAAGAGTGAAAGGAGGATGCCTGTGATGAAATATAATAACAAAGAAAATAAAAATATAAAAAGACAATTTTTCTTTTCCACACATCAATGGCCACCATTAATAAGACGATTAAAAAAAAAAGTGGGTTCCTCAACATTCCATAGCTATCATTCAATACCTGTCATGTCAGAAGTGTATACTTCTTTCAACAAACTGGCCGTATCCCACCGAGGCAGGGTGACCCAAAAAAGAAAAATGCAAGTTTCTCTTTTAAAATTTAGTAACAAACAGGAGAAGGGGGTTACTAGCCCCTTGCTCAATTGTATACATATCACAATTTAAATGACCCTCCTAACCACAACATCCCCACCCCACCTTCAGAATGCAGATACTGTCCTTTCCACCTCCAGGACTCAAGTCTGGCAAAATGCATGTGCATAAAAGACAGAATAACATGAATTATACACATTGTCGGTTCTCTGAACCATTTATCTACACAGAATAACATGTTTGGACTTTCCCAGAACATGTAACAAAGTGGACATCATGGCAAGACATTATCATTTATTGGTAGAAACTCTTTAGAGGCTACTTTTCCTGATAACACTATTTTTATGAAGCACCATAGATGCACTGGCCATTTGCCACTGAGGTAGGGTTACCCCCAAAAAATGAGGATATTCATTCACCATTATCCAGTCAGTCGCTGTCTTGTCAAAAGTGTGCTGACATCACAGTTAAAGGCATGAACCTGATCATACCAAATCATAAGCAACTGAGTCAAACCCAGCAAATTCATAATCATGCACAATATACCTGTACACTCACCTGTTATTTATACCACAGTGCTTACTGAGATCCAAATTATCCAGAGGAAAGTCAACAAAGTTCTGCTGTTTCTTCATCAAAACATCATGTTCAAACCTGGAAAAAATATTTTTAAGCAATTTAAATAAAATTTTCTAAACTGTCATAATTAAAAGATACTGGCAGCTTTCTTACAACTATTACTTATAAATTTCTTTAAGTCTCACTATGCATTGGAACCTCGGTATACAACCAGCACCCTACTCGAACAAATCTCAGCACTCGACCAAACAAATACGACATACCAAAACTTCTCTGTCAACTATTTCATATTTCTTCACATTTTTTTTTTTTTTATTATTTGTATACATAAGTCACCATGGAGCCTACAACAATTAGTGATAACAGCCAACCAAACATACATATACATTTAAAGAAATGTAAATTTACCCAATTCATTTATAATCTCGTAAACCATATAATCCATTCAAATATATATAATACTCTCAGAGTATCTTGTTAGTAAGCTATTATTTATATAAAAGCTTGCTTTTATATACCTGAAGTCTATACATACTACTATATCTATATATATATATCCAACCATCTTATTAGTTAGTTCATTGCTATAACCTACTAATAGTTATATAGCATTCCCGGTGTATCTATCAGAAAATTACTATAAAGAAGTAGTGGCTTTGCTTTATCTTATTTAACTTGTTCGATACCTTAACAGAGTGGCACTCAAACAGCCTTCTGGAATGAATTAAGGTCGCATACCGAGGTTTCACTGTATACGTTATAACAGCCATGCATTTCTGACTGGTGACTAGATATTCTTGGAGCAAAAGACAAATATAAAGCAAATTCTTATTGTTACAATGTTTCAATTTGTGTTGAACTTTATTAAGTCTAAATAATGTCAACATCAAAGCCTGTCCTGCATATATGGTAGGTCGTCTACTAGTTACTGCTTCATGAGACTTGATCTGCCTACATCCAACACTGTCAAAACAATAAAAAATTAAACTGCTATCAATGATTCTCATAGTACAAAAACAATATCTATGAAAAGTTTCTCTCTTGACTTTAATCTGATTATTACAACATAAACAAGCAAAAATCACTAAGCAATACTGAACACTGGCACCATGACCAAAACTTTTCTCATGAAGCAACAAATAAGTAATCATAAAGAATAAGCATTACCTAGCCATACGAGTTTCACTCTAAGAAAGATATATGACAGAACAGTTGGCAAAAATGTACCTGTTAGGTAAAAGGACACAAATGCAACTAATGTGACATTTTATTGTGGCAACGTAAAATGTCACATTAGTTGCATTTGTGTCCTTTTATCTAATACATTGTCGGTAATTCTACCAACATTAACACAAAAATGTACCTGTTTAGATGCAAGATCAATATTGGTGGTAATTTCCATATGTCAAGCTTGCGAGTGCAGTTGCGCATCTTCTTACATTTGGAGCACTTGTATTCAATATTTGTTTCTTTATAGAAGTGATGAAGCATATCCTGTCAGTGTTTAAAAAATAATATGAACATAATAAAGAGAACCTTTAACTAAGAGATACTAAAGTTCTTATACTGTAAAGGATAAAGGAAGGTAGAAGGTATAAAGATACCGACAATATGGATGAAATGGCACAAATGCATTTACTTAGGACATCGTTACTGAATACATTTCTGTCTTGATACCTTGGTCACAGATTTGGAGTAACCAAGGTCGAAAGACTGAAGCATAACCAATAAATATGTCCTAAGTGTATGTATGCACCTAGGACATCCAGTACAGGATAAAACAGGTCGTCAAAATGCAAACATCCTAATTTACACACACCACCACTTATGAACAGGGTATTTCTTCTTCTTTCAACAAACTGGCCCTATCCCACCTAGGCAGGGTAACCCCAAAAAAAAAGAAAGAAATTTTCCTTCTTTATACATTCAGTAATTTACACAGGAGAAGGGGTTACTAGTCCCCTATTCCTGGCATTTCAGTTGCCTCTTACGACACGCATGGCTTATGGAGGAAGGATTCTTCTCCACTTATTAATATTATTATTGCTGTACTCAACAGCTGTCTACTTCCAAGGCAGGGTGACCCAAAGAAAAACATTCACCAACACTCGGTCAATTCCTACCTTTCCAGACTGTTATTCAGTATGATTTGAATATCTTTCCAGAATATCTTTACAGCACATACTGCTCTCATTATTATTAACATCATTATATTCAAATAGAAGTGCTACATCCAACAGTATTATACAATTCCAAGGAATGGGAGGTAATCAAATCTGATCCACGAACAGGAAGAGTAGCTCAAATTCCTTGTATCAAGAACCCTTAGCCAACATCAAGGTAACCCTTGAAGGGAACAAATAACGAAAATAACACATACGCAACTGTGTAGCTACTGTCAGGAACGCAGTAAACTTACTCTAAGTGAACATCTGCTTGACGAAGGGAATGATAATGAGAGTATGGAGAACGGTTCAAAGGTGAGGGAGCGATGATAACAAGTACCACACACTATAACGGAACGGTGGAGACCGTGGAAAAGATAATAAATAATGGACTGGTCTTGACATCTTATCTCTTCTATTCTCTTCTCTGCAGCAGCATAGTCAGGGAGATTATCATAGTTCTGCTCCTTCATAGGTGGCTTCTTACCAGTAACCTGAAACATAAGAATTTTCTTGACATTATATAATTAATAAAACACAAAAAAAAGTTACATTCAAAGCTCCTTAGAGTATCTTTTTTTTATATATTTTATTGAAAACATTGCACAATACAATAAGGAATAAAGTATAATAAACAAGCCATGTAAGTTCTACAAGACCACATGTTCATAGTAATTTATTCAAATTTTTATTTTTTTTTTTAACACACTGATCATCTCCCACCACGGCAGTATGACCTGAAAAGGAAATTTTCACCATTATTCACACTATCACTGTCTTTCCAGAAGCACACAGATACTACAGTTCAGATGTCCCTCCAAATAGCAAATATCCCCACCCATCCTTCAGAGTGCAGGCAATGTACTACCCACCTCCAGGACTCAAGTCTGGCTGACTGGACTGCTAAGTACTATTATTATATTAAAGGAAGCATTAAACCCGTAGATGTCATACACTGCCTGGTGAATAGGGGACAATATGGTTTGATCCAAGGAAGGGTAGCTCTAATTCCTTGGAACAAGAGCCCTTCACCAGCATCAAAGGATCACCCCTGGGTATATAGTGCTAAGCCAGTGTAATTTTTCACTAACTACTTTTATTAGGTACAACCATACTGCAACCTGACCACAAATTTACAATATCACAACATCAAAAACAAACAAAATATCTGAACTTACCAAATACATTTTTGATGAAAAATTTACTAAAACTTATGCACTTATAACTGATAAATTATATATATATATTTTTTTTTTTTCAACAAGTCGGCCGTCTCCCACCGAGGCAGGGTGACCCAAAAAAGAAAGAAAATCCCCAAAAAGAAAATACTTTCATCATCATTCAACACTTTCACCACACTCACACATTATCACTGCTTTTGCAGAGGTGCTCAGAATACAACAGTTCAGAAGCATATACGTATAAAGATACACAACATATCCCTCCAAACTGCCAATATCCCAAACCCCTCCTTTAAAGTGCGGGCATTGTACTTCCCATTTCCAGGACTCAAGTCCGACTATATATGACTATATATGATTTAAAATTAAAATGCATTCTCAGTACTGTGCTTCAATAGAAATTACCTTGTTTAAATCTTCGTGCAACCAATCCATTAGTTTGATCAGAAACTCATGAGAATCTTGCTGATCATAGCCCTGAAATGGTTTGTGATAGTGGCCCACAACACTCTGAAAAAAAAAATCCATGTTACTGCAACAACAATGAGAGAAAAGCCAGATTTCACATACATATAAGAAACATCATAATGTATATTTTTTTAAATAATTACAATAATTTTATAAATTGTAAAAAAAAAAAGGTGAAGTAATTAAATTTTTGCATTAGGTTGTAATAGGTAGTAGATAGCAACCACCCAGGGAGGTACTACTGTCCTGCAAAGTGAGTGTGAAATAGAAACCTGTAATTGTTTTACATGATGGTAGGATTGCTGGTCTCTTTTTCTGTCTCATAAAAATACAAGATTTTAGGTGGTGCTTAGCCTGCTTGATACTCAAGCAGGCTAAGCACCACCAACCCAACAACACAGGAGTCACATGATCTCATTGTCTACCCGTCCTCATCCCAACATGGCATTCTTCAGGTCACCATGCGTCACTCACACCTCACTCTCCGCCTATATATAAAATCTATTTTTTTTTTTATCTTTCTACCTCTATGTTAGAAGTGATCAAGGTCCCAGAACCGAAACGTTTTTTAATAAATATGTCGTAGTGTTTGTTTACGTGTCTTTCTAAACCAAGATTTTAGGTACATCTTGCTACTGCTTCTTACACTTAGGTTACACTACACATGCGTGTACAAGCACATATATACACACACCCCTCTGGGTTTTCTTCTCTTTTCTTACTAGTTCTTCTTCTTCATTTCCTCTTATCTCCATTGGAAAATGGGACGGAATTCTTCCTCCAAAAGCCATGTCTGTCGTAAGAGGCAATTAAAATGCTGGGAGCAAGGGGCTGGTAACCTCTTCTCCTGTATACATTTCTAAATTTAAAAAGAGACACTTTCATTTTTCCTTTTGGGCCACCCTGCCTCAGTGGGACATGGCTGGTTTGTTGAAAGAAGAATAGGATGCAATCAGATTTAATATAAGGAAGGTGAGGGTTAGCCCCCAAATTCCTTAGGTCAAAAACCACCCCTTTGAAAAGTGTCCTAGAGGAGCAAAGGGTCAGGGATACAATCAAGAGTATAAGATACACAAGGTAGTAGGTTGGTAAAGAGCAGTCATCCAGGCAGGTATTGTACTACCCTCCTGTCACAGAGCAAAATAGAAGATGTCAAATGTTCTGCACTCTGGCAAGACTGCCTGTCTTCTCTTTGTTTTAGGAATACTTAGGATGACAGGTAAGTCTTACAAACATCTACTTGCATTCAGCATTCACTTATGTTCACTATTCTGTGTGTTTCTATATAATCACTCTTCCTGTAATATTTCCTTTCCAATTTAGTATTACCAATCGATACTGGGCTACGATGATCCCTAGAGCATAAGAACATAAGAAAGAAGGAACTGCAGCAGGCCGATTGGCCCATGTGAAGCAGGTCCAAGTCTCCCACCAGCCCAAGCTAATGTCCCAACCCAATTAGGTCAGGTCACATTCACTTAAGGAAGGAGCACGGTATCTGACCTAGTAGCACAAGCTAGTCAGGTCCAACTCACACCCACCAACCCCCACTCATGTATTTATCTAATCTATTTTTAACCCTTAAATGGTCCAAACGTATACATACGTTTTTTCAACATTTGAAAGTATGTAAAAAAATGTACATCATCTTTTTTTTTTAATTTGAAAATGTGTAAAAAACTTTTATCTACTTTTTTTTTGTTATATTTGAAAATATGTAAAAAAACATAGATCTACTTTTGGAGCACTACGGATTTGAACGTCGATATATTTGGACTGTTTAAGGATTAAAACTACACAATGTTTTAGCTTCTCTGACAGTACTCGGGAGTTTGTTCCACTCATCCACAACTCTATTACCAAACCAGTGCTTTCCTATATCCTTCCTGAATCTGAATTTTTCCAACTTAAAACCATTGCTGTGAGTCCTGCCTTGGCTAGATATTTTCAGCACACTATTTACATCCCCTTTATTTATTCCTGTTTTCCATTTATACACCTCAATCATTCTTTCTTTCTTTCAACGCACCAGCCATATCCCACTGAGGTGGGGTGGCCCAAAAGGAAAAACGAAAGTTTCGCCTTTTAAATTTAGTAATATATACAGGAGAAGGGGTTACTAGCCCCTTGCTCCCGGCATTTTAATCACCTCTTATGACACGCATGGTTTACGGAGGAAGAATTCTGTTCCACTTCCCCATGGAGAACACCTCAATCATTTTTTTTTTTTTTAACAAGTCAGCCGTCTCCCACCGAGGCAGGGTGACCCAAAAAGAAAGAAAATCCCCAAAAAGAAAATACTTTCATCATCATTCAACACTTTCACCTCACTCACACATAATCACTGTTTTTGCAGAGGTGCTCAGAACACAACAGTTTAGAAGCATATACGTATAAAGATACACAACATATCCCTCCAAACTGCTAATATCCCGAAACCCCTCCTTTAGAGTGAAGGCATTGTACTTCCCATTTCCAGGACTCAAGTCTGGCTATATAAAAATAACCGGTTTCCCTGAATCCCTTAACTAAATATTACCCTGCTCACACTCGAACAGATCGTCAGGTCCCAGATACCATTCGTCTCCATTCACTCCTATCGTACACGCTCATGCATGCCTGCTGGAAGTCCAAGCCCCTCGCCCAAAAAACCTCCCTTACCCCTGCCTTCTAACCTTTTTGAGGACGACCCCTACCCCGCCTTCCTTTCCCTACAGATTTAAATACTCTCCATGTCATTCTACTCTGATCCATTCTCTCTAAATGACCAAACCACCTCAACAACCCCTCTGCAGCCCTCAGACTAATACTTTTATTAACTCCACACCTTCTCCTAATTTCCACACTCCGAATTTTCTGCATAATATTTACACCACACATTGCCCTTAGACAGGACATCTCCACCGCCTCCTCGCTGCTGCATTCACAACCCAAGCTTCACACCCATATAAGAGTGTTGGTACTACAATACTTTCATACATTCCCTTCTTTGCCTCCTTAGATAACGTTTTTTGTCTCCACATATACCTCAATGCACCACTCATCTTTTTTCCCTCATCAATTCTATGATTAACCTCATCCTTCATAAATCCATCCACCAACACGTCAACTCCCAAGTATCTGAAAACATTCACTTCTTCCATACTCCTCCTCCCCAATTTGATATCCAATTTTTCTTTATCTAAATCATTTGATACCCTCATCACCTTACTCTTGTCTATGTTCACTTTCAACTTCCTACCTTTACACACATTCTCAAACTCATCCACTAACCTTTGCAATTTTTCTTTAGAATCTCCCATAAGCACAGTATCATCAGCAAAAAGCAACTGTGTCAATTCCCATTTTGTATTTGATTCCCCATAATTTAATCCCACCCCTCTTCCAAACACCCTAGCATTTACTTCTTTTACAACCCCATCTATAAATATATTAAACAACCATGGTGGCACTACACATCCCTGTCTAAGACCTACTTTTACCGGAAAGTAGTCCCCCTCTCTTCTACACACCCTAACCTGAGCTTCACTATCTTCATAAAAACTCTTTACAGCATTTAGTAACTTACCACCTATTCCATATACATGTACTTGCAACATCTGCCACATTGCACCCCTATCCACTCTATCATATGCCTTTTCTAAATCCATAAATGCAATAAAAACTTCCCTACCTTTATCTAAATTCTACACCTTTCTACAGAGTGCAGATTCAGTGCCTTCAGTCTATCCTCATAGAAAAGATTTCTGATACATAGAATCAACTTTGTCATCCTCCTTTGTACGTTTTCCAGAGCATTTATGTCCATTCTGTTATACGGTGACTAAAACTGTGCAGCATAATCTAAATGAGGCCTAAGCAAAGATATAGAGTTGAAGAACAACCTGAGGACTCCTATTATTTATGCCTCTTGACATGAAGCCAAGGATTCTGTTTGCTTTATTGTGAACACTTAGGCACTGTTGTCTTGGTTTTAGATTACTGCTAACCAGAACTCCCAAATCCTTTTCAGAAACAGCAATATTAAGATCTACATTATTTAGTTTATATGTGGCATGGTTATTTTCCTGTTCAATGTTTAGAACTTCGCATTTGTCTATATTAAACTGCATCTGCCACTTCTCCGACCACTGCATTAGAAGAGAACAGATATACAGTATACTGAACATATGGATGCTGAGGTTTTAAGTGTGTTTACTCTATATAGCAAACAAGGCTAAAAAAAAAAAAAAAAAAAAACATTCTGAATGTGTACAGTATAACTGACCTTAAGATCTCGCATAGCTATAGATCGATACTGCCCACTCCAAAGGGCGTTGACAGCGGCTCCCAATTCTTCTGCTATTTCTCCACGACATTTGCTATTAGGGTTGATGTCACTGCTGTTCAAATATAAATATGATGGAAATGTGAACAAGAGTTAACAAGCAGACTAATAATTACAAAAATTTAATAACTGGTCGACGGCTTACTGTTTTTGGTATCCTAGGAAAAGAAAATATAACATTTTTCAAATGCTGTGGAAAGTCTAGCTCCAATAAGCCAGCACTCTTTTGATCAGATTCCCAGCAAAAGTAAGCCAGAGGCTACTTAATCAAAAATACACAGTTCCAATATGCCAGAAGTTACTTAAAAAGTTAAACAAATTCAACCTCTTTACAATAATAAATTATATACTGTTCTTAAAAGTTTATGGATAAATAAACTATTAAATGTACATTCAATATTCTAAATTCTGTATTATAATTTCTGTAATATCAGAATACAGGAAATAAAATTACAAAACTCATTTCTTTTTTAATATGCTGGCCATCTCCCACCGAGGCAAGGTGACCCGAAAAAGAAACTTTCACCATCATTCACATTATCGCTGTAGTACCAGAGGCGTGTAGATATGATAGTTTAGATGTCCCGCTAAACAGGAAATATCCAAAACCCCTCATTTAGAATGCAGGTACTGTACTTCCCACTTCCAGGACATAAGTTGTGGTTTGAAAATTGACAAAATAAAAGCAAAATTGAATTGGTCTAACCTGTAAGTGCCTTCTATGAAGTACTTGACAAGTGGTGTGGTGTTGTTGAGGCACTGTATGATGGAGTTCATATAACAGGTATTTCCAAAATTTTTCAATCCAGTTCTTGCAGGGAGCTGGTGAAAAATAAAAGAAGCATTAATTAGAGATGCTTCCACAAAAACACAAAGTTAACTACAAAGATATAAATTACAGATCAAGCCTTTATTGGGATAACTTTTCATTGTTTATTAAATTTAAAGAGAAAACCTTTCATTTTTCCTTTTAGGTCACCCTGCCTCGGTGGGATGCAGCCAGTTCATTGAAAAAAAACTCTGTGTAAAACTTTATAAAGTTCTACAAAAAATATTCATAATTAAACAATTTTTTAGATACTATTACTTTAACCTTTTCATTGGCCATCACTAGATCTATGTTATTTATACCGAGGTCCCTCATATAGATTTCCATTTTGAGCACAGTTCCCTCTGATAAGATTAGCTGTGAGTGGTAAATTTTGGCCTAGATATGAGAGAATGGGTGTGTATGGTGAGTGCGCACAGTAAAAAAAAATCCTGCTCCACATGGTGCATGATGGGAAAAGCAAAACTCGAACCTTGTATCTGGTTTAAAATAATGACTATGAGGTGTTTTCTAGGATGGTTTTTATAGTTTTATTGGCTGATTCTTGGTATTAACTGATAGAATGGAAAATATACTACTGAACCAGAGGCAATTTTGAATGGTTTCAGGACCAGTAACAGCTTGAAATCAGGTTCAAATTAATGGAAATATTAGATTTTTGCCAATTTTTCTGAGGGCATATAAGGCCCCCCTACAACCCCAGTCTGTTTTATAGGTTTTTAATAGGTCTGATTCAATTTTTGCGATGCTGTAAACTATGATTTTTTTGGATGACGATGAATTCAAAATGGCAGGTGCGTGTAATATAGAAGAGGCCTGGGTACATGAGAAAATGCTTTAGTGCCTAAAATATCTACAATGCTTATTTTAGACTCTATATTTAAACTGTAATTTATTTAATTTTGTGTAAAATTGGCCAAATTACCAACTTTTGTTCACTGTATAGGATAGTTTTGATAGCCGAATGGGTTTTTTCTTGTGCTTAATAGAATAGAAGGCATACTAGCATAACAGTCAAGAATTCTGTCGAAATGAGCAGTGGAAATGATTTAAAATAGGACTCAAATTTGGCGAAACTGCTGATGCATAAAGTGCGCCCAGACCGCAAACTTTGCACCTCTGTAATTCCATGAGTTTTCCATCAAATTTCATACTTTTGGTGTCATTACCCTCAGAAAAAGATTCTCTACCATTTCAAAGGACAAAAATATTTTTTTTACATGTGGACACTGAAAGCAATATTAATTTCAAAGGGTTTGACAGTGAAAAGGTTAAATAAATATGTCAGAGAGAGAACTTACCACACGTCCATATTTTGGTTCAAAATTTCTCTGTCGAGCAGCATTGATATTTCTTCGTTGTGGGACACCTAATGGTTTGAGGCCTCGGTCAAAGTTTGGCATTGCAGTCCCAGAAACCATTTTATCATCATCGTCCTCAAGCTGAAAAAAATTCATAATTATATTTGGATCACATACATCTACAAAATATCTAGTGTATTAAATGTTTACATACAAGCTCTGGTTATAAATGTGTAACGAAGTTACGCATAATTTTCAACATAGTTCATGTTACAATCCAAATACAGTAAATATACTATGGTTTAATCCTCCCTCAACAAATGTTTTAATCTGTTTACAAAAGAGCAAAAAAACACAGCAGTTTTCTCAAATGTATTTGTCACTGCCAGTTAAACCCTAAATTCTGCATTTACCTGATCATTTGTTTTGTACATGCACTAAACATTGTTCAGTCATGTTTCTTTCACAACTGAAGACACAATATGGCTTAGAGAGCCACAAATAGCAAAACAATGGCAGAAACCCTGAAGAATTTGTTGAAGACTGATATGAGGTTTCAATTATAATGAAGCCAGCTAGAGGGCTTAATTCAAACTATGACAGAGCACCACATGGGTATGTAATACAAAACTAGAATAACAGGAAGAGTATAAGAAAATAATTTTGTGAAGGCTAGCCACTGAGAGTGACAAATGAACAAAGAGGCATAAACATAAAAGCATAATTAATGATATACAGAAGAGAGGGATGGAGCAGAAAAAATAGGAAAAAAAGGGGTATTTAGAGTGTTTGGATATACATATTACATACAGTGGATGAATTAGTTTTGAGACTACACTTAAAAAATAAATGTTTGGACAGGAAAAGCAGTGTCTAGAATAATCTACAAAAATAAGGTGAATAAGTACATGTCCAAAAGAGATGTCATAGTGTACAATGTTATGCAAGAATAGCAAAATCTGAAGAGACTGTACAGTTGCCATTGAGCAAGTTTTTTTTTTTTTCTTTTTTTTTTTTAACAAGTCAGCTGTCTCCCACTTGTTAAAGCAAAAAAAAAAAAAAAAATTGACAGGAAGATGAATGGAAAATAACCAATAATAAATACATTTGATACAAAAATTGGCATATTTATTTGTAACCACAATTTATTAATTTAGACACTAATATGGAATACATAACACTGGCAACATCACTAAATGTAAAAATAAGATAAACTTAATAGTGTTTTCTTTTTTGGGTCACCCTGCCTTGGTGGGAGACAGCCAGTGTTGAAAAATAAAAAAAACACTGGCAACATTGACCTGTGTTGTCTAGTATTATACATTCTGTGTTAGATAATTTATAGAAAATTTCCTCCTGACAGTCTTACCTGAGATAGATTGAATGCAGAATGAGATCGCTTGAGATTTGAGCCACCTCGAATTGGTGACGAGCGAGGAGAACCTCTCAATTTGGTCATGTAGGTGTCTCCAGTAGTGCCTGAAGTTGAAGAAAATTGCTTTACCTTTGCCAAAGACATTATGCCACACTGTATACAACAACTATATTAGACGTTTTACCAACTTTCTTCATGTACTGTGTAAACCTATGCATTATGAAAACTCGTATTTAATAAACGATGTAAATATCTATCCCTTTTCCTTCCTCCATAAGCTGTGTGTGTCATAAAAGGTGACTAAAATGCTGTGAGCAAGGGACTAGTAACCCTCTCTCCAGTACAAATTACTAAATGAAAAAAAAAAAAAAAAAAAAATTTTATAAAGTTTTTTCTTTTTTATAGGTCACCCTGCCTAGGTGGGAGATGGCCAGTGCATTGACAATAAAAAAAAATCTGTCCTTCTGCATTCACGTCAGTCTCACAGTTAATGGACAAAGGATCAAGCCTCTACCTTTACCTGCACTGAATGACCAACAAGAGTTGTGTTTCACATAAATAAAAATTAAAATACAAAACAAAAACAAAAAACAAAGGGCTTCCATTCTTATACACATTATCACATTTATAAAGGGGTTCAAGACAAGTGGTTAGCTGGACTTGAGTCCTGGAGGTGGGAACTACAGTGCCTGCACTCTAAAGAAGGGGTAGAGATAAATTGTAGTTTTTGAAATGTAGCATTGGCATGCCCCTGGCAAGATGTTTCTATCTTCTACTGCCATTAACTCTTCAAAAATGCCCATTTCCCAGTCTCCTCTAGAAGAGGGTTTTATCCTGGTCTGTCTTTCTCAACATGACTTGTTATGCCTCAGAACTTTATTTCCACAGATTAACATTATTTCACTGATGAGGTGGTTTGAAGAGGCAAGCAGGCTTTGTTAGTTAACAAAACACTAAAGGAGGTTTTGTGGGCAAGGGGCTTGGACTTCCAGCAAGCGTGCGTGAGCGTGTTAGATAGGAGTGAATGGAGACGAATGGTACTTGGGACCTGACGATCTGTTGGAGTGTGAGCAGGGTAATATTTAGTGAAGGGATTCAGGGAAACCGGTTATTTTCATATAGTCGGACTTGAGTCCTGGAAATGGGAAGTACAATGCCTGCACTTTAAAGGAGGGGTTTGGGATATTGGCAGTTTGGAGGGATATGTTGTGTATCTTTATATGTGTATGCTTCTAGACTGTTGTATTCTGAGCACCTCTGCAAAAACAGTGATAATGTGCGAGTGTGGTGAAAGTGTTGAATGATGATGAAAGTATTTTCTTTTTGGGGATTTTCTTTCTTTTTTGGGTCACCCTGCCTCGGTGGGAGACGGCCGACTTGTTGAAAAAAAAAAAAAAAAAAAAAAAAAAAAAAAAAAAAAAAAAAAAAAAAAAAAAAAAAAAAAAAAAATAATCATGTTAGAGAAGTTAGCAAGAGTTTCAAGCTGCCTGGAAAGCTGTGGCATCTACAATGAAAAAGGGTATCTACTATTTTGCAGAATTCTTTCTAACATTAGTCTAAAAATAGTGTACACACCTCAACAAGCTCCTGTGACTTATGATGCAACTGTACAAAGAAATATGCCTGTATCATTCATCCCTAAATTTTAACACTGCCTTTGCTATATGAACTACAGTAAACCCTTGACTTAATGGGTTAATAGGGGACAGCAAGTGACCAGTAATGGTGATTGTAGTTGACAGAGATGAGACTGTTTTGATGTAATAGCAACACTTAAATAATAATTCTCTATCTGTTACTTCTGAATCAATTAACCTGTATAATTATGTCTGACTTTAGTTTTTCTTTTTGGGCCACCCTGCCTCAGTGGGACATGGCCGATTTGCTGAAAGAAGAAAGAATTTTATCTGGAATATCCCAAGGTCTGTTAAGTCAAAGTCTACTATATCAAGGGTACATACTAGAAAATTAACTAAATTATTCAATTACTTGTTAGTCTATCCATGATTATCATTTCACATCAATATTACAAGGTTTCTTTATGATTTTTTTTTTTTTTTTTTTGGCAATGGCCAACATCCCTGTAAGGAGATGACTAGTATTCATAATTTTTCAGTACGAAGTCAGTAATATTGTAAATTAATATAAAAGAAATGATTAGGAGTATAGCCGAAGTCCTAAATTTGGAGCGATACATATCTAGTAAAAGTCACAACAAATCTATTTGTTAATAATACTAAAAACTACATGTTTGTCTGATTTATACAACTGTAAACATTTTGCCTATAAATAAAATTAAATGAAAAGCAAATTTAAAATTTCTGTGAGATCAATTTACTGAGCAGTATAAAAATAATGAGTCACTTTACTTAATTAAACAAGTATTCTAGTTTTTCATGAGCTGAAAAGTAGGAAACTGGGAAGTGAGGAGAGTACATGACAAAATGTATATGAGAGAGAATAAAAAACTGAGCAAAAATGCATGGTGCACCCACCTTTTGCCCTGCTAGACCGGGTTTCCGCATCTACTCTTGATCTCCGTTCCTCTAGTTTTCGCCTGTAAGAAAAATATTGCTATAATTCAAATCTACATAAAAGAAAAACTGCCTTAATATACATATCATTTAATCTTCTTAGTTTCTGCTTCCAAGTGGGCTATTATTGAGCATTAAGACAAAGATTAAAGTGTAAAATAAAATCAGGATATACTAAATAAACAGAGACAGCAAAGCAGAATTTAACCCTTTCAGGGTCCAAGGCCCAAATCTGGAGTCACGCACCAGTGTCCAAGAATTTTCAAAAAAAAAATTTGTTATTTTTTCTTATGAAATCGTAGAGAATCTTTTTGTGAAGGTAATAAAACAAAAAGTATGAAATTTGGTGGAAAATTGCCGAAATTATGCTCTCGCGAATTTTGATGTGTCAGCGATATTTACGAATCGGCGATTTTGCCGACTTTGACTCCCATTTTAGGCCAATTCATTATTCCAATCAACCAAAATTCTTAGCTATTTCACTAGTATTACTTCTATTCTAATCGATTGAGCACAAGAAATCGCCAAGTCAACTGTTTCAACTACAAAATAAAGTGATCGGAAATGTTAATTTGGCCAATTTAACACAAAGTTCAAAATATTCCAATTTCAAAATAGGGTTCAGAATGAACAATGTAGGCATTCCTGGCACTAAACTAACATTTCCTCTGTTCATTAGTTAGTTTTGAGGGTTTACAAATAAATTCCATTTTGATTTTTTTTTCACATAATGAATTTTTATTCACACCAAAAAATAGAAGATTTACTGTTATGCAATACTGTAAAAAATTGTATAAATATCATCACCATATTTGTGAATGTATATTAGACCCACCAGCTGATGTGTATTAAAACGTGTGAGGTCGTTTGTTTACTCTTGAATATCGGCAAAAATTTAACATTTCTGCTACTTTGAGCTCAGTTTCAAGCCATTTCCAGTGCTAAAACCAATCAAAATCATCTCTATTTCTGTAATATGTCTTCCATTCTATCAAATGAGACCAAGAAATCGCAAATACAACTATAAAAAACATACGAAAAAACACTGCAAAGTTGCTGTTTTAATCGAAAAATCATGATTTCATTTTTTTTCTCTCATTATACACAGTGTGCTGCAGGATGTTTTATGTGGTGCACACATACCACATAGATGTATTCTCTCATATCTAGGCCCAAATGTACCACTCACAGTTTATCAGAGTGAGCTGAGCTCATGGCGTAGATCTACGGTTTGGACCCTGAACGTAAAGCCGTAGATCTACGGGACGGACCCTGAAAGGGTTAATAAGAAGTGAGCAGAGAAAAATAAGTTGAACAAGAAATAACTAATATGGGCAGATGTATGAAAAGAATGGTAATATGCAAAAAAACAGACAGACAGGGAAGGAATCAAACTGCTGGTGTATTTTCTTTGTACAAATGTAGGGAAGATCTGAAAGAAAAACTATGCTGTCTCTGTAAAAAAAAAAAAAAGTAATAGGGAACAAGGGGTGTAAGACATTATGTTGAAGAATGAGACAACCGAGCAACAATATTATGTACAAGGCCAATATTGTAAAAGTACCACACTTGGATCCACTTCAAGGACAGCGTGAGGCAAGTTTCTATACCACAAGACGGGCAGAAAACAGCAACTTCACTCTGGCTGTACCCTTCTCCAGAACACCACTTCATCTGAGATCATTTATCCCCAGGATGACTCGAGTCTGGAACACATTCGTACAGTATTATGATGTCAACGAGATAAAGTCAGTTGATCAGATGAAAATGCTGGCCCACAGATGGCTCCAACTTCATCCTGTTCCCTACTTGTATGTTTCATAACACTAAAAATGCTTTCAAATGAGCTGATGTAGGTAACAGCTATTAGCTTGTCAATAAAGTTAGGAATCCTCAACCTGTAAATAGCTTGTCAATAAAGCTAGGGATCCTTAACCTAACCTTGTCAAACCCTGTGTAAAAAAAAAAAAAAAAATAAAAAAAAACACTTGGGAATCTTTACTGAGGAAACATTTCACCAGCCAGTGGCTTCTTCAGTCCATCAAGACTGACACATTGACTCCAGGCTAAGGGACCAATTATCTCAAACTTCTCATCTTTTACCATTCTTTTCTGCACTGGACTGAAGAAGCCACTGGCTGGCAAAACATTTCCTCAATAAAGATTCCCAAATGCTGCACAAGTGTCTCATTCTTCAACCTGTCAGTTTTCTAAACCATTTATATCACAAGACATTATGTAGTTGTATAACTGTCAGTAGTTCTCAAGCACACTGCCATAGGGAAGTGGAAAAGAATTCTTCCTCTGTAAGCCATGTGTGTCACAAAAAGCAACTAAAATGTCAGGAGCAAGGGGTTAGTAATCCCTCCTCCTGTATAAATTACCAAATTTAAGAAAAACAAAAATTTTTCTTTTTAGGTCACCATGTCTTGGTGGGATATGCCTGGTGTAAAAAAAAAAATACTCCTGCAGCACTGAAATTTCACAAGTAGGAATTAACATTTAATCCTGTTTGCAGAGACTTAGAACTCTAAGGGAATAAGTATGCCGAATACAACATGTAAAGTTTATGAAAGAGTATGGAAAACCTGTCACTGACAAGAGTGGTTTAAAAGGCAAAATGCATGAATGCAGAAGAAATAGTGGATTATTTTAAGACAAAACAAGTCAAATCAGTAAGGGAGAGAAGCTAAGATGTATGATGTTGCAAACATTTCAGGGTATGGAATAGGCACTAATTTCTAAAATTGAAAAGGTATTTAGAGGAGAGTATTGCATAATAAAAACATCAGCAAAAAAATACCATGTGGGCCCCAAAAAAAACTGTGAGAGGCCTCACTACTGCCACAAAAACCAATCAAACAAAATCACAGACCGGAAGACATTCCCACTATTATATGTTGTGTGTGTTGTGTGGTGTGTGTGTGGTGAAAAGTTTCTGCTGTAAGGTCCAATTAGAGGATGAAAAAAAATTTTCCCTTTTAATAAAAAAAACTGAAATAAAATCTGTAATAAAAAAAAGACAATGTCTTACCTTCTATTTCAGCCTCTCTTTTCTTTCTGTTCATTCAAAAGCAATTTTCCCTTTTTTGCCCGCTCCCCAGTTTCTTTTTCCCTTTGCTTTCCCCTCTTTACGTACGCTCTACTTGTTCTTGAGGGTCCTCCCCTTTTCTTTCCCGTTTTTTTTAGATGTTCTTGCCCTAGGTATAAATGAAAATAGCAAAAAATTTCTTTTAAAATAGAATGATACAAATAATTAGAAGTGACAAAACACAGCAAGCAATCATTTATTATGAAAATATTTTAATGAAAATATATTTATAGATGGGGTTGTAAAAGAAGTAAAAGCTAGGGGGTTTTTAGGAGAGGGGGGGGATTAAATTAGGGAATCAATTCAAAATGGGGAAATTTACACAAATTTCTTTTTTCTGAGTACTGTGCTTATGGAGATTCTAAAGAAAAATTTTCAAAAATTGTGGATGGTTTTGGGGGTGTGTAAAGGGAGAAAGTTTAAAAAAGGAACAAAAAAGGTAAGGTGATGAGGGATCAAATGATTTAGATAAAAAAAATTGGGGTTGAAATTGGGGGGGGAGGGGTATGGAAAAGGAAAGTTTTTAATACTTGGAGTTTACGTGTCGGCGGGTGGATTTATTAAAAAATGAGGGTTTAAACATAGATTTATGAGGGGGAAAAAAAATGATGGTGCGTTGGGTATATGTGGGGTTAAAAAAAAGTTTTTTCTTGGGGGGCAAAGAAGGGAAAGTAGAAAGTATAGTAGTACCCCCAAATTTTTATGGGGGTAACTTGGGTGGTAAAGGCAGCAGCGAGGAGATGGTTGGAGGCAGTGGAGATGTCCTGTCCTAAGGGCAATGTGTGGTGTAAATATTATGCAGAAAATTCAGAGTGTGGAAATTAGGAAAAGGTGTGGAGTTAATAAAAGTATTAGTCAGAGGGCAGAAGAGGGGTTGTTGAGGTGGTTTTGGTCATTCAGAGAGAATGGATCAAAGAAGAAATGACATGGAAGGCATATAAATCTATAGGGGAAGGAAGGCGGGTAGGGGTCGTCCTCGAAAGAGTTGGAGAGAGGGGGGTAAAGTGAGTTTTGTGGGCGAGGGGCTTGGATTTCCAGCAAGCGTGCGTGAGCGTTGTTAGATAGGAGTGAATGGAGACGAATGGTACTTGGGACCTGACGATCTGTTGGAGTGTGAGCAGGGTAATATTTAGTGAAGGGATTCAGGGAAACCGGTTATTTTCATATAGTCGGACTTGAGTCCTGGAAATGGGAAGTACAATGCCTGCACTTTAAAGGAGGGGTTCGGGATATTGGCAGTTTGGAGGGATATGTTATGTATCTTTATACGTATATGCTTCTAAACTGTTGTATTCTGAGCACCTCTGCAAAAACAGTGATAATGTGTGAGTGAGGTGAAAGTGTTGAATGATGATGAAAGTATTTTCTTTTTGGGGATTTTCTTTCTTTTTTGGGTCACCCTGCCTCGGTGGGAGGCGGCTGACTTGTTGAAATAAAAAAAAAAAAAATTACTCAAAGGTGAACTTTTTTTTCAAAACAATCATTTTTTTCTTTTTAACAAGTCGGCTGTCTCCCACCGAGGTAGGGTGACCCAAAAAGAAAGAAAATCCCCAAAAAGAAAATACTTTTAATCATCATTCAACACTTTCACCTCACTCACACATAATCACTGTTTTTGCAGAGGTGCTCAGAATACAACAGTTTAGAAGTATATACGTATAAAGATACACAACACATTCCTCCAAACTGCCAATATCCCAAACCCCTCCTTTAAAGTGCAGGCATTGTACTTCCCATTTCCAGGACTCAAGTCCGACTATATGAAAATAACCGGTTTCCCTGAATCCCTTCACTAAATATTACCCTGCTCACACTCCAACAGATCGTCAGGTCCCAAATACCATACTGTCCTCATAAAAACTCTTTACAGCATTTAGTAACTTAGCACCTATACATGTCTTTGTTTATCCTATTTGTCTGTCTTTTGTTCCAACCCCCAAGATAACAGGACAAAGGGAAAACCAGTTTTGTAATTGTTCAAAAGTAGTATACATGAATGTATAAATTCTAGGGTAATAATCATGCTGACCTTAACAAAAAAATAAAAAGTAGATAGAAGAATCATAAGAATACAGGAGCACTGTTTTAGACCTACTGGATCATGGAAGGCATGATCTTCTCACATTCAACCATTCTAACTTACTTATTTGTCTAATCTATTTTCAACAGAATTCAAAATGAGGGAGTTAAGTATAGTTATTGCACATAAAATCCTGATTACAATTTTACTGCATAACTGAACACATATTAAAGCTCACAAAAGCTTTCTCATTTTTAATATACAGGCCATCTTCCACTAAAGTAGGGCTATCCCAAAATAAAGAGGAAATACAATCACCATCATTCATTTAACTGCTGTCTTGCCAGAAGTATGCTGATATCACAGTTCAGATGACCTACCAAATGGCAACATCCTCACTCCTCCTGCAGAGTGCAGGCACTGTACTTCCAAACTCTAGGACTGTAACATCCCCACCCCTCCTTCAGTACAGGCACTATATTTCCCACCTCTAGGGCTGTAACATCCTCACCCCTCCTTCAGAGTGCAGGCACTATACTTCCCACCTCCAGAAAAAGCTTTCTTGCTATCTGAATTTTTAATGAAAACTGCCACTAAAGAGACAGCTTACTGCACAGTGAAAAACCTCACTTCTTTCTGGAGAGGAGCTTCAGCATCAAGCTCTGATTGTACCGAGGGTCCCAGGTTGAGGTTATTCAGTTGACCAGAGAGAGCCAGGTTCACCATCCTCCACAGTTCTTCATTCTGCTTGTGAATTTTGTTGTATCGCTCTTCCTGTTCACCAAAAAAAAAGTTATTAGAAATGCATCCATGTATTATTGCAATGATTTTTTTTTTTTAGTTAAGGGAGTTGATCCTGGACCTCAGTGATGAGAGTCGCTCCTCTCACCACTGGGCAACAGCAACTTTAATTTCAAGATAAATTTTTTTCAGAAATTCAATCACCAGATGTCTGTGGTGAGAGGTGCGACTCTCACCAATGGGCTATGACTGTTGGTATGTATAATGAATTATTACTATTATATGGTTATGTTAAGCAGGGAAGCAAAGATAAATATAAAAAAAAAGAAAAACTAATGGAGATTTAGTTTGGATTCTGAAAACTAATTATAGCTATTGTATCTAAAGTCGGACACTAAGATTTACAAGGACTTTGATCAGTAAAGTCATTCTGCCTTTTTGACAATAAACACATTAAATATAATAAACCTTTGATGTAATGGACTTCCGATAAAATGAACAAAATATCTGGCTGGGCAAAGGTTCGAGACAACAGACTCAGTCCACTGTGTGGAGGACATGTCTGTCAGTGGTATTATGCTGTAGTGTCTGGTATGTTCCCCACCAAACAAATTAAATGCACTCCACCATGCATTTGTCCAGTACAGCCCTGTCCAGAACCTATGTGTTGTCGTTGTTTCTGGGAAAACTGAGCCATTTGTCTGCCTCATTACTCACCTATATGTGGCAGTCAATTGGTCTCCAATTTTTTTTTATTTACAGCATTTTTTGCTACTTTATAAACAAATTATGTACATTTATTAATATTTATTATTTATTATCATCACACTGGCCGATTCCCACCAAGGCAGGGTGGCCCGAAAAAGAAAAATTTTCACCATCATTCACTCCATCACTGTCTTGCCAGAAGGGTGCTTTACACTACAGTTTTTAAACTGCAACATTAACACCCCTCCTTCAGAGTGCAGGCACTGTACTTCCCATCTCCAGGACTCAAGTCCGGCCTGCCGGTTTCCCTGAACCCCTTCATAAATGTTACTTTGCTCACACTCCAACAGCACGTCAAGTATTAAAAACCATTTGTCTAAATTCACTCCTATCAACACACTCAGGGCATGCCTGCTGGAAGTCCAAGCCCCTCGAACAAAAAACCTCCTTTCCCCCCTCTCCCCAAACCCTTTCCTAGGCCTTCCTTCCACTACAGACTGATACACCTTGAAGTCATTCTGTTTCGCTCCATTCTCTCTACATGTCCGAACCACCTCAAGAACCCTTCCTCAGCCCTCTGGACAACAGTTTTGGTAATCCCACACCTCCTCCTAACTTCCAAACTACGAATTCTCTGCATTATAATTCACACCACACATTGCCCTCAGACATGACATCTCCACTGCCTCCAGCCTTCTCCTCGCTGCAACATTCTTTCACCCATGCTTCACACCCATATAAGAGCGTTGGAAAACATACTCTCATACATTCCCCTCTTTGCCTCTAAGGACAAATTTCCCTTTGTCTCCACGACTCCTAAGTGCACCATCACTTTTTTTCCCCCTCATCAATTCTATGATTCACCTCATCTTTCATAGACCCATCCGCTGACACGTCCACTCCCAAATATCTGAATACATTCACCTCCTCCATACTCTCTCCCTCCAATCTGATATTCAATCTTTCAACACCTAATCTTTTTGTTATCCTCATAACCTTACTCTTTCCTGTATTCACCTTTAATTTTCTTCTTTTGTACACCCTACCAAATTCATCCACCAATCTCTGCAACTTCTATTTATTAATAATGGCCTCTAAAGCCAAGAGGAATCTTGTGAATCTGAATGTTTGACAGAAACCTGAACTAATACTGAAAACGAGTCAGGCATGTCAATATCGTGTGTGTGTGTGTGTGTGTGTACTCACCTATTTGTGGTTGCAGGGGTCGAGTCATAGCTCCTGGCCCCGCCTCTTCACTGATTGCTACTAGGTCCTCTCTCTCCCTGCTCCATGAGCTTTATCATACCTCGCCTTAAAACTATGTATGGTTCCCGCCTCCACTACTTCACTTTCTAGACTATTCCACGACTTGACTACTCTATGACTGAAGAAAATGCTTCCTAACATCCCTTTGATTCATCTGAGTCTTCAAATTCCAATTGTGACCTCTTGTTCTGTGCCCCATCTCTGGAACATCCCCGTCTTTGTCCACCTTGTCTATTCCGCGCAGTATTTTAATATGCCGTGTGTGTGTGTGTGTGTGGTGTGTGTGTGTGTGTGTGGTTGTGTGTGTGTGTGTGTGTGAGAGAGAGAGAGAGAGAGAGAAGAGAGAGAGAGAGAGAGAGAAAAGGAGAGAGAGAGAGAGAGGGGAGAGAGAGAGAGAGAGAGAGAGAGAGAGAGAAGAGAAGAGAGAGAGAGAGAGAGAGAGAGAGAGAGAGGAGAGAGAGAGAGAGAGAGAGAGAGAGAGAGAAAAGAGAGGGGAGAAGAGAGAGAGAGAGAGAGAGAGGGGAGAGAGAGAGAGAGAGAGAGAGGGGAGAGAGAAGAGAGGGGAAGAGAGAGGGAGAGAGAGAGAGAGAGAGGAGAGAGAGAGAGAGAGAGAGAAGAGAGAGAGAGAGAGAGAGAGAGAGAGAGAGAGAGAGAGAGAGAGAGAGAGAGAGAGAGGAGAGAGAGAGAGAGAGGGGGAGAGAGAGAGAGAGGGGAGAGAGAGAGAGAGAGAGAGAGAGAGAGAGAGAGAGAGAGAGAGGGAAGAGAGAGAGAGAGAGAGGAGAGAAGAGAAGAGGAGAGGGGAGAGAGAGAGAGAGAGAGAGAGAGAGAGAGAGAGAGAGAGGAGAGAGAGAGAGAGGGGAGAGAGAGAGAGAGAGAGAGAGAGAGAGAGAGAGGAGAGAGAGAGGAGAGAAGGGAGAGAGGGGACGAGAGAGAGAGGGGAGGGGAGAGAGAAGAGAAAAGAGAGAGAGAGAGAGGGGAGAGAGAAGAGAGAGAGAGAGAGAGAGAGAGAGAGAGAGAGAGAGAGAGAGAGGAGAGAGAGAGAGAGAGAGAGAGAGAGAGAGAGAGAGAGACAAAGAAAGGCGAAAATGGGGAAAAAAAACGGAATCAAAATTTAAATATACTCCCTTAGTAATGTAAATGATAGAGAAAATAAAAGTATCAGCTGGTCCTAAGAAGTGTGTGAAAAAGATTCAAGATGAAAGTGCTGAAATAGTAGTCCATATAAATGCTATATTCAACAATCTTTTGGAGTTAATGCTCATTGTGTTGATCTCTACACTGCTACTAAGAGATTAGCATGCCACAGAGACAAAATTTCATCTATGCACTACAGGAGGTAAGGAAAATTAATGTGATCTGCTGTACTGTATATGTACAGTACTTTGAACCCCTTTATTATGAACTACGGGTTATTCATAGTTGGTCTTGTAGGCCTAGTGTTTAAAGAATTGTCTGTTAGTAGATGTCAGAAAAGCTTCCTGTTAAATGGACCATGTCTGCTGCACTAAGAATTATCAGTTCAAATTTCAACAAGGAAAAATAAATTTCATATTTTCGTGCAATGGACAATCGGGTCTATCAAACATGTCCCTTTCTACATTAGTCAGTTATATCAAGGTTTCACTGTACAACTATACGGACTACCACTCACAAGTCAAACTCCATTACAAAATAATAAAAACTTCTCAAAAGAAGTACACAATAATATGTTTACACTATCAGTTAGTTATATGTTTTGTGGTTTAAAATAAATCAGAGAGTTTAGCTTTCATAGGCAGCTGACACCAGTCAATTTACAATATATTATACTATATGTACTCTATTACATAAAGCAATTTTTTTTTTTTTTAACAGTCGACTGTCTCCCACCGAGGCAGGCCGACCCAAAAAGGAGAGAAAATCCCCAAAAAGAAAATATTTTCATCATCATTCAACACTTTCACCTCACTCACACATAATCACTGTTTTTGCAGAGGTGCTCAGAATACAACAGTTTAGAAGCATATACGTATAAAGATGCACAACATATCCCTCCAAACTGCCAATATCCCAAACCTCTCCTTTAAAGTGCAGGCACTGTACAGTGGACCCCTGGTTAACGATATTTTTTCATTCCAGAAGTATGTTCAGGTGCCAGTACTGACCGAATTTGTTCCCATAAGGAATATTGTGAAGTAGATTAGTCCATTTCAGACCCCCAAGCATACACGTACAAATGCACTTACATAATTGGTCGCATTGGGAGGTGATCGTTAAGCGGGGGTCCACTGTACTTCCCATTTCCAGAACTCAAGCCCGGCTATATAAAAAATAACCGGTTTCCCTGAATCCCTTCACTAAATACGTATTACCCTGCTCACACTCCAACAGCTCATGTCCCAAATACCACTCATCTCCATTCACTTCTATCTAACGTGCTCATGCACGCTTGCTGGAAGTCCAAGGCCTTCACCCACAAAACCTTTACCTCCTCCCTCCAACCTTTTTGAAGACAACCCCTACCCTGCCTTCCTTCCCCTACAAATATAAGAAATATAACAGTAATTCTAGGTAGTAGGTTGGTAGACAGCAACCGCCCAGGGAGGTACTACCGTCCTGCCAAGTGAGTGCAAAACGAAAGCCTATAATTGTTTTATATGATGGTAGGACTGCTGGTGTCTCTTTTTCTGTCTCATGAACATGCAAGTTTTCAGGTACATCTTGCTACTTCTACTTACACTTAGGTCGCACTACACATACATGTACAAGCATATATATACACACCCTTCTGGGCTTTCTTCTATTTTCTTTCTAGTTCTTATTCTTGTTTATTTCCTCTTATCTCCATGGGGAAGTGGAACAGAATTCTTCCTCCGTAAGCCATGTGTGTTGTAAGAGGCGACTAAAATGCCGGGAGCAAGGAGCTAGTAACCTCTTCTCCTGTATATATTACTAAATGTAAAAGGAGAAACTTTCGTTTTTCCTTTTGGGCCACCCTGCGTTGGTGGGATACGGCCAGTGTGTTGAAAGAAGATAACAATAATTACAAAAACTGCCTTACCATTTCTGAACTTTTTGCCTGAAGCTTGTTAATCTCTTCCTGAAGTCTGTCTTCTGTCTGCTGTAACTGAGCTCGGCTCTGTTCATCATGAGCCGTTTCTCTCTTTGTTGTCGTTGCTTCCATTTCCTCGATCTTTTTAAGAGTGTCCTGAAGAACAGAGAGATCGGCTCAATTCACATACAACAAATTGCAAGTGATGGAAAATGCGATTTAAAGGTTCTAAATAAATATAAAGAAATTTAGTTACAATATTCTCTCTCTTAAACTTGGAAAAAGAATAAATATCCATAAATGCTAATACAATTTTTAACCACTCTAAAGTAGCTACACATGTAATGCATCTGGCACTTGAGTAATATCTTGAGAAGAACTAATGTACCAAAGAAACAGAGATGTACTATATAAAAATTAAAGTGATTTGCAAGCTTTATAAATTTAGTGATCACCCTGTCTTTGGCTAATTTCCAGCATAGTTAAATTTGATTGTGAACAGGTGGTTAAAAATCTTTAAATGTCAATTTTTGCAATGTATAACTTCCTAAATATCAAAATTCATGGTCAAAAACAAAATATTTAATAGTAAGATAATCCAAAGTGCTTCAGAAAATTTGGTGCCTTTATCCAGAAAGTCATCATTTTACGTTCATGTTGCCTTATAGGAAAAACATAACAGACAAAAATTACCTCTTCAACTTTCATCGACTCCTCGAGAATCTCCTGTTCTTTGTCCATTTCCATTTTCTTTGCTGTCAAATTTGCTAGCAGTTCTCTAGGTTTCAAAGATCTGCTTGGTATAGATGGTATGTTATCTACTTTGTCTGCAAAGTGAATTACCTTTCTGGTCTTCTGGTAATCGACAGCTTTATTGGAGTCTTTAACATCCCAATTATTCACTTTGGAATCCACTGCTACCTTAAATGGGCTGCCTTCTGCTGTAGACACATTATTATACACTTGTGAACTATCTATATTGCTATTTTTGTTGTTATTCTTGCTATCCATGAGTTCCTCAGTAACCACTGGTTTTGTAGCTCGTTTAAATGATGGTGAAACGGCTGGTCTGGTATCTGGCGGAACAACCTGGGGCTTCTGGGGACTTGGAGACGGAGTAATCAAAAATGCTTTATCCAGGTCAGGGTACTCAAAATTCACTGTTCAGAAATAAAGACTGAAATTAGATCTTTAGGACACAAGCTTAGGCCTATAAATATTAAGAAGAAAAAACAATATTTGTAAAACAGCTGGAAAATAAGAAATAGTAAATGCTTCCCCTTCTATAGAGAGTTTGCTTGTGATGTTACAAGTTGAGACTTTGCCATAATAGTACTAGCACATGTACCCAACATGTGCTAGTACTATTACGTGGAGCTATCATGTGTCCCAGAGAAATAGCATCCATTTAAAGGATTTTGAGATGCCTGATACCTGATGTGCTGCAAGTTATTTTGTCTAACAATATACAGTATGAGTATTCAGAGACATTTGCACTATTAGATGTAACTAATAACAGATTATGTAGGTACTGGGGACAGAACCAGTGGCTCTGTATTTGCAAAACCATGACTATGTTACACGTTTGGTCACTAGTACCCTTTACACATGAGGAATACTGATTACTAGCTGATAAATATTAGCAGAAAGACACATAAAACCTTTTATTTATACAACATTGTGCTGTATAAATTAAATATTTTTTGCTGTGTTTTTCTACTACCCCTTACATAATATACCTTCATAAAATGACAAAATTTTCCTTATGATATAAATATGATACATACAATAAACCGTTTTGTAAAAACTGAAGTTTAAACAAACACTGGTGATAACAAACTTCTGGGTAGATGTAGGTAAAAGACTAAGAATGTTGTCAGTATTAATTGCTAAAAAGGCATGAAACTGCAAGTAAACAATGCAAATACTATGCTAAAACAATTTAAAATGACTTACAGGATACTGGCTCCTGGAATTTTACTGTTGCTCGGTTGCGATGCTCTGCTCGGGGATTAGTAGTGTATATGGGATACATCAGCTGCCACATTTCGTAGCCTCCTTGTAGCACCCATGGACTGCTCTTATACTGTTTTCCTGGGTCCCACTAGTGTGCAAAAATTTTACAATTATCAAAATATAGAGAATCATCTTTCTTCCATTACCTAAATTTTTTGTTACCTTCATCACCCTGCACTTTCCTATTTTTGCTTTTAATTTCCTTCTTTTACATACCCTCCCAAATTCATGCACCAATCTTCACAACTTCTCTTCAGGATCTCCCGAAAGCACAGTGTCATCGGCAAAGAGAAACTGTGACAACTCCCACTTAGAATTAAATTCTGCATATTTTAATCCCATAGCACTTCCTAACACCCTAGGACTGTAACATCCTCACCCTTCCTTCAAAATGCAGGCACTGTATTTCCCATTTCTATGACTGTAACATCCTCACCCCTCTAAACTATTATTAAATTAAAAAAGTGTTAAACCCATATGGGGTCATTCTGCAATAAATAAGCTATACCAGTGGATAGTCAGCCTATAAAAAACTGTGAAATTATATATAAAAACCTTTATGGGAATCTAAAGTGCTAAATAGTTAATACTGACAATTTTACCTTCACCATGGCATCTACAAGTGTCTTGAGTGGGGCTGGTAGAGGTAAGCTATCTGTTTCCCAGTCCACCAATATCAAATAATCTACTGAATGACGTAATTTTATCCAAAGACTACACGCTGGATCATCAAGCTCACTTCCAATCCTCCCAGCTGTTAACCTGTTAAAAATAAAAAGGAATTCTAAAAACAAGAGCATAGCAAAAGTTTACAAATGGCTAATGTTTTCAGAAAGCTAAGACCACATTTTCATGTGTAGTATTCCATATATTTAAGATCATAAATGGTGAAAGCCAACATTTTTAAATCACACTAACCAAAATTTTATCTTTTATTAAAGTACCTTTATCCTCCTGTTTGATTTAATTTTTTTTAATTCAGTGGCTGTCTTTCACCAAGGTAAGGAGGCAGTCTCAATAAGAAAACACATTCACCATCATTTCACTTAATTGCAGTCTTTACAAACATGTGCCGATTTAATTATATTTACACAAAAACCTTGCACATTTTGAGAGGCTGGAGCGAAAAAGAAAAAAAAAAGGATAACAGGAAGAGCACATAAATCTGAGGTGGAGGGAAGGAAAGGTAAGGGTCATTTTAGGTAAGGATGGAGAAAGGTTTTAAAGTGCACGGGACCTGGACATCAAACACTTGTGTGAGCACATTAGACAGGAGTGGAGGCATGATGTTTTTATGATTTGATGTGCTGTTGCAGTGTGAGCAAAGAAACTGTATTTAAATCTTGCCTCCTCAAAGAAAAGGAAAGAAACTTACTACAGTGGAACCCAGAGTTTCGGCCATAATTCGTTCCAGAAGGCTGTTCAAGTGCCGTTACCAAACAAATTTGTTCCCACAAGGAATAACGTAAATTCAATTAGTATAGAGAATGGAACGAAACAGAATGACTTCGAGAATGCATAAATCTGTAGTGGAGGGAAGGCGGGGTAGGGGTCAGCCTAGGAAAGGATGGAGGGAGGGGGTAAAGGAGGTTTTGTGTGAGAGGGGCTTGGACCTCCAACAAGCATGCGTGAGCGTATTTGATAGGAGTGAATGGAGAAAAATGGTTTTTAATACTTGACGTGCTGTTGGAGTGTGAGCAAAGTAACATTTATGAAGGGATTCAGGGACACCGGCAGGCCAGACTTGAATCCTGGAGATGGGAGGTACAGTGTCTGCACTCTGAAGGAGGGGTGTTAATGTTGCAGTTTTATAAACTGTAGTGTAAAGCACCCCTCTGGCAAGACAGTGATGGAGTGAATGATGATGAAATTTTTCTTTTTTGGGCCACCCTGCTTTGGTGGGAATCGGCCGATGTGTTAATAAAATAAAAATATATTAGTTCATTTCAGCCCCCCAAAAATACACTTACAAAAACACTTACAATAATACACTTACATAATTGTTCGAGTTGGGAGCTGTACGAAACTCAGAGTACCACTGTATCATTTTTTTAACACCAACCATCTCCCACTGAGGTAGGGTGACCCCAAAAAAGAAATGCCATCATAAAGTTTTTTCTTCTTCTTTTTTTTTTTTTTTTTAACAAGTCAGCCGTCTCCCACCGAGGCAGGGTGACCCAAAAAAGAAAGAAAATCCCCAAAAAGAAAATACTTTCATCATCATTCAACACTTTCACCACACTCGCACATTATCACTGTTTTTGCAGAGGTGCTCAGAATACACAGTTTAGAAGCATACACATATAAAGATACACAACATATCCCTCCAAACTGCCAATATCCCAAACCCCTCCTTTAAAATGCAGGCATTGTACTTCCCATTTCCAGGACTTAAGTCCGACTATATGAAAATAACTGGTTTCCCTGAATCCCTTCACTAAATATAACCCTGCTCACACTCCAACAGATCGTCAGGTCCCAAGTACCATTCGTCTCCATTCACTCCTATCTAACACGCTCACGCACGCTTGCTGGAAGTCTTTTTAAATTTAGTAATTTATACAGGAGAAGAGGTTACTAGCCCCTTGCCATCAGTATTTTAGTCGATTTGTACAACAATGTGGTTTACGGAGGAAGGTTTCTTCTCCACTTCCCCATGAAGAAGCAAACGGACACAGCCACAAGTCTTTATAAGGATGTACAGATGAACTAAGTTATCTAGTCTGGAAATTTTGGGATTTCACTACAAAGAAGCAAACTGGAGAACAACCGCAAAGTTGCATACACTGTACCAATATGTAAAAGCTAATTTATCAGCATACTTCAAAATTATTCATACACAAACCCTGGATTTAGCATTTCTTCCGATATATTAATAACATTTGGTAAGGTCATCTGGGATGCTGAGAAGTCTTCCCTGGGTCTGGTATCGAGGATAAAGTACGTGGAACACTTCTCCTTCATCAGTGAGTAGAGTCTAGAGCATGCTATAAATCCTTCCTCTTCCACCAAGCCTAAAAAAAAATATAAGAATGTTAAGTAAAACCCATACTGCACATATTTTTATTTTTATTTATATCACAAAATTTGTAAAAAACACTTCCACTACATCCAGGCAAACATTAAATCCAATAATTATGCTGATACTTTTTCTTTAACTACAAAATTAACTCGAAATATATCCTGTGGTGTCCTGGGGGCCCAGTTGGCATGGGTGGAAATGTTGGGCATGTTTCCTTACATCTGCTGCCCCTGTTTACCTAGAAGCAAGTAGGTACCTGGGTGTTTGTTAGTCAACTTTTGTGAGTGACATCCTGGGACACAAGACTGAAGAACCAGAATGGAAATAGACATACAGTCTCAATGATGCACTAACTTTATTGGGTCATCATGGGTGGGTAACCCTCCTGGTTAAAAATCCCAACAAATCTTACCTTACCTCATCTTATCCTACACTTGACACCTGTACCAAATACTCCCCATTTGTGAACTAAAGAATACAAAGCAACCTTGCACCACAGCCTTGAAGAGTATATATTATACAAACTCTTCACTTGCAATTGCAAGTACAGCATTTTGATCACCAGTACTTCTTTAACAAGGTGTTACTTTCACAATATGGTGAGACTCTTGTTTAATCAAACTCATCTTCATTGCTACATATTACTGAACTAGGACATACAGTGGTACCTCAGAATATGAACAGCTCAAAATGCAAACAATTATGTAAGTGTATTTATGTATGCGCTTTTGTAAGTGCATTTTTGGGGGTCTGAAACGGGTTAATCTAATTTACATTATTCTTTAAGGGAACAAATTTGTTTGGTATTAGCACTCAAACAGCCTTCTGGAACGAAATAAGTTCGCATCCCAAGGTACCACTGTATTTTTATATGTGGTACAGTCTATAATGCTCAGTACGGTGACCATCATGAATCTGATCTGAACATTAATGCTTATTAGTGCTGGAATCACTAACAAACAAACTAGTACAGTATAAAACAATTAGGAAAATAGATTAAATGCAAAGAGCATTGGGAAGTACATTAAGAACTGTTTGATATATACCTGGTGCTGAAGTACTCAATTCATACACAATACAGATAAAAACATGCAACTAAATGACAAAATTTACACAGTGATCTGACAAACCAATAAGTACAATCATATTGTTGAAAATATTTTGTCTCTGATTAAAGATATTTAATTTATGAAATTAAAACATTACATATGATGCACTGATACAAATGATGATGAGCTCAATGAATGTTACTTTCTCTTGCAAACCTTTGCAACATAAAGAAAACCAACAAATTTCCCAAATGTCACTTCTGAGACAGCCTACAAACATTTGCAACAATATCTTGGTAACTAACCATACAATATTGATCAAACTGGTTTTATTTTAAAGATTGATGAGCATTTTTGTATTTTTTTTTTTTTTCTCAACAAGTCGGCCGTCTCCCACCGAGGCAGGGTGACCCAAAAAAGAAAGAAACTCCCCAAAAAGAAAATACTTTCATCATCATTCAACACTTTCACCACACTCGCACATTATCACTGTTTTTGCAGAGGTGCTCAGAATACAACAGTTTAGAAGCATATACATATAAAGATACACAACATATCCCTCCAAACTGCCAATATCCCCAAAACCCCTAATTTAAAGTGCAGGCATTGTACTTCCCATTTCCAGGACTCAAGTCCGACTATATGAAAATAACCAGTTTCCCTGAATCCCTTCACTAAATATTACCCTGCTCACACTCCAACAGATCGTCAGGTCCCAAGTACCATTCGTCTCCATTCACTCCTATCTAAACACGCTCACGCACGCTTGCTGGAAGTCCAAGCCCCTTGCCCACAAACCTTCTTTTACCCCCTCTCTCCAACCCTTTTGAGGACGACCCCTACCCCGCCTTCCTTCCCTATAGATTTATATGCTTTCCATGTCATTCTACTTTGATCCATTCTCTCTAAATGACCAAACCACCTCAACAACCCTCTTCTGCCCTCTGACTAATACTTTTATTAACTCCACACCTTTTCCTAATTTCCACACTCCGAATTTTCTGCATAATATTTACACCACACATTGCCCTTAAACAGGACATCTCCACTGCCTCCAACCGTCTCCTCGCTGCTGCAATTTACCACCCAAGCTTCACACCCATATAAGAGTGTTGGTACTACTATACTTTCATATATTCCCTTCTTTGCCTCCATAGATAACGTTTATTGACTCCACATATAACCTCAATGCACACTCGTCTTTTTTCCCTCATCAATTCTATGATTAACCTCATCTTTCATAAATCCATCCGCCGACACGTCAACTCCCGAAGTACCTGAAAACATTCACTTCTTCCATACTCCTCCTCCCAATTTTTATATCCAATTTTCTTTATCTAAATCATTTGATACCCTCATCACCTTACTCTTTTCTATGTTTCTTTCAACTTTCTACCTTTACCACACTTTCTCAAACTCATCCACTAACCTTTGCAATTTTTTTTAGAATCTCCCATTAGAAGTATCATCAGCAAAAATTCAACTGTGTCAATCCCATTTTGAATTTGATTCCCATAATTTAATCCCACCCTCTCCGAACACCCTAAGCATTTACTTCTTTTACAACCCCATCTATAAATATATTAAAAAACCATGGGGACATTACAATCCCTGTCTAAAGACCTACTTTACGGGAAATATTCTCACTTCTTCACACGCCCAACCTGAGCACACTATCCTCATAAACGCTCTTTACAGCATTTAGTAACTTTCCACTATTCCATATTACTTGCAACATCTGCCACATGCTCCTCTATCCACTCTATCACATGCCTTTTCTAAAACCATAATGCAATAAAAACTTCCCTACCTTTATCTAAATATGTTCACATATATGCTTCAATGTAAACACTTGATCTACACATCCCCTACCAACTGAAACCTCCTTGCTCATCCGCAATCCTACATTCTGTCTCGCCTCTAATTCTTTCAATTTAAACCCTACCTTTTCACTTTTCCTGGTATACTCAGTAAACTTATTTCTCTATAATTTTTACAATCTCTTTTGTCCCCTTTCCCTTTATATAAAGGGACTAACATGCTCTCCGCCAATTCCCAGGTCCTTCCCCTCTTTCATACAATTATTAAAAAAGTACCAACCACTCCAACCTATATTCCCCCCTGCTTTAACATTTCTGTCATGATCCCATCAGTTCCAGCTGCTTTACCCCCTTTCATTCTACGTAATGCCTCACGTACCTCCCCCACACTTACATTCTGCTCGTCTTCACTCCTAAAAGATGGTATACCTCCCTGACCAGTGCATGAAATTACTGCCTCTCTTTTCTCCTTAACATTTAAAAGTTCCTCAAAATTATTCTCGCCATCTACCCAATGCCTCCATCTCCCCATCTACTAACTCCCCTACTTTGTTTTTAACTGACAAATCCATACTTTCCCTAGGCTTTCTTAACTTGTTTAACTCACTCCAAATTTTTTTCTTATTTTCATTAAAATTTCTTGACAGTGCCTCTCCCACTCTATCATCTGCTCTCCTTTGCACTCTCTCACACTCTCTTTACCTTTCTTTTACTCTCCATATACTCTGCTCTTCTTATAACACTTCTGCTTTGTAAAAATCTCTCATAAGCTACCTTTTTCTCTTTTATCACACCCTTTACTTCATCATTCCACCAATCACTCCTCTTTCCTCCTGCCCCACCCTCCTATAAACACAAACTTCTGCCCCACATTCTAATAACTGCATTTTTAAAACTATTCCAACCCTCTTCAACCCCCCCACTACTCATCTTTGCACTAGCCCACCTTTCTGCCAATAGTCGCTTATATCTCACCCGAACTTCCTCCTCCCTTAGTTTATACACTTTCACCTCCCTCTTACTTGTTATTGCCACCTTCCTCTTTTCCCATCTACCTCTTACTCTAACTGTAGCTACAACTAAATAATGATCCGATATATCAGTTGCCCCTCTATAAACATGTACATCCTGGAGCCTACTCATCAACATTTTATCCACCAATACATAATCTAATAAACTACTTTCATTATGTGCTACATCATACCTTGTATATTTATTTATCCTCTTTTTCATAAAATATGTTCAGGTCTCCCTCAACATTCATGTTTTCAATTTTCACGGGCTTCACACATTCGCGAATTCCCAACCGCCAAATTCCCAGCCACCAAATTCCCAGCCGCCAAATCATATTTAAGTTTCCCGCCACCTGCGAGTCCCTACTACCCTCCCTCCGACCCCCGCAACTGGCAGCGAGCCCTCCCACCACCCAGTGTGATGAGTGTTTTGTTTGTTCATTATTTGCTATTAAACTACAGTATAAATAATGTAAACCCATTCATGACTGCATATTGGAATGGCTATTCGGATAGGTATTAGACGGTGACATCATGTGTTTACTCTTGAACACTGCAAAGAATTAAACATTTCTGCTACAGCTAATAATAACAATAGTAATAATAATAAAAATAACAATAATAATAATGATAATAAACAATAATAATAATAATAATAATAATAATAATAATAATAATAATAAATATGATATAATTGAAGAAGGAAATTGTACAAAAATACGAAGGAGTGGTTGACACAGCGTCAGTGTGACTTTGTTTATGCTGGAGTGAACATTAGTCTCCCTGCTCTTCCAAACATTTCACAATAATTCATTGTGTTTGGTGTTTGTAGATTGAGTGTGACTGGAGTGGTAGAGGCAGTGATTGAGGCAATGGTATTTAATAACATACATCTTAATAATAATACATGTTATTAATAATATGTACTATTATTTTTTATAACATATATGTTATTAAATACATACATATTAATAATAATACATGTTATTAATAATAACATGTACTATTATTATTTATAACATATATGTTATTAAATACCACTGCCTCAACCGCTGAATTATTGTGAAATGTTTGGAAGAGCAGGGAGACTAATGTTCACTCCAGCATAAACAAAGTCACACTGACGATTGTGTCAACCACTCCCTCGTATTTTTGTACAATTTCCTTCTTCAATTATATCGTATTTATTATTATTATTATTATTTTTTTTTTTTTTTTTCAACAAGTCGGCCGTCTCCCACCGAGGCAGGGTGACCCAAAAAAAAGAAAGAAAATCCCCAAAAAGAAAATACTTTCATCATTCAACACTTTCACCACACTCGCACATTATCACTGTTTTTGCAGAGGTGCTCAGAATACAACAGTCTAGAAGCATACACACATAAAGATACACAACATATCCCTCCAAACTGCCAATATCCCAAACCCCTCCTTTAAAGTGCAGGCATTGTACTTCCCATTTCCAGGACTCAAGTCCGACTATATGAAAATAACCGGTTTCCCTGAATCCCTTCACTAAATATTACCCTGCTCACACTCCAAAAAGATCGTCAGGGTCCAAGTACCATTCGTCTCCATTCACTCCTATCTAACACGCTCACGCACGTTTGCTGGAAGTCCAAGCCCCTTGCCCACAAAACCTCCTTTACCCCCTCTCTCCAACCCTTTCGAGGACGACCCCTACCCCGCCTTCCTTCCCCTATAGATTTATATGCTTTCCATGTCATTCTACTTTGATCCATTCTCTCTAAATGACCAAACCACCTCAACAACCCCTCTTCTGCCCTCTGACTAATACTTTTATTAACTCCACACTTCTCCTAATTTCCACACTCCGAATTTTCTGCATAATATTTACACCACACATTGCCCTTAAACAGGACATCTCCACTGCCTCCAACCGTTCTCCTCGCTGCTGCATTTACCACCCAAGCTTCACACCCCCATAAGAGTGTTGGTACTACTATACTTTCATACATTCCCTTCTTTGCCCCCATAGATAACGTTTTTTTGACTCCACATATACCTCAACGCACCACTCACCTTTTTTCCCTCATCAATTCTATGATTAACCTCATCCTTCATAAATCCATCCGCCGACACGTCAACTCCCAAGTATCTGAAAACATTCACCTCTTCCATACTCCTCCTCCCCAATTTCATATCCAATTTTTCTTTATCTAAATCATTTGACACCCTCATCACCTTACATAATACATAATCTAATAAACTACTTTCATTACGTGCTACATCATACCTTGTATATTTATTTATCCTCTTTTTCATAAAATATGTATTACTTATTACCAAATTTCTTTCTACACATAGCTCAATTAAAGGCTCCCCATTTACATTTACCCCTGGCACCCCAAATTTACCTACTACTCCCTCCATAACATTTTTACCCACTTTAGCATTGAAATCCCCAACCACCATTACTCTCACACTTGATTCAAAACTCCCCACGCATTCACTCAACATTTCCCAAAATCTCTCTCTCTCTCCTCTACACTTCTCTCTTCTCCAGGTGCATACATGCTTATTATAACCCACTTTTCACATCCAATCTTTATTTTACTCCACATAATCCTTGAATTAATACATTTATAGTCCCTCTTTTCCTGCCATAGCTTATCCTTCAACATTATTGCTACTCCTTCTTTAGCTCTAACTCTATTTTTGTATAGAAAATACAATTTCCCCCTAACTGCTCACTTTTTACTCACTGATGAATTTGTTGGTTTTCTTCTCAGTGCCTCATACAGTACACAATCATGAGATCATGTTGAAAGAGTAAAATGAAAGTCAGATTTATTCATGCAGATTATTTTTTTTTTTTTACCTCAAAGACCATCTGCCAAGGCAGGGTGACCCAAAGAAAATGCACTCACCAGCGCTCATTTAATTGCCATCTTTCCAGGTGTGTGCTGACATCACAATTAGATTACCCTCCTACTGCAACATCCCCATCCCTCCTTCAGAGTGCAGGTACTGCCTCTCTCATCTCCAGGCTCAAGTCTGACTAACTGGTTTTTCTTAATCCCTTCAAAAAAGTATTCTTGTTTAAACTCCAACAACATGTCCATTAAAAAACCACTTGTCTCCACTTCCACCTACGCTCACAAGCCTTCTGGGTGCTCAAGCCTCCCCTAAAACTCAAAGCTTCTTTTATCCCCTCCCCTCCCTCCAACTATTCTTGGAATAACCCCTACCCTTCCCTCCCCCACCTTCCATCTGTGATATATTACACTCTTGTCATCTTATCTTCTCCTTCCTCTCTACATGGTTGAACTCTCTTAAAATAAAATTATTTTATTCTGTCTACATTTACTTGGATGTGGTTTTCAATGACATGTTGGCAATTCTCAAACTTACCAGTTTCATGACCAAATGTTATTTCAATTCTTCACTTGAATCCCTTTTCTCTGTCACTATCTACACTTCTTGACCTATTTGCTCAGGAATACCAATCATTTTGATTAACTCAGCTTAAAGTTAAATAACATTACAAAAATATTAAATAATTGTTTTAAATTTCATTCTTGATTCATTGTTGGTGCATGAAATTGAGATGTAAAGTGTGTATTCATTAAGTTAACAATGTGCTTGCTTCACGAACCAGTTAAGATGTGACATTCATGACAACATACCATTGGTCATTGAAGGAGTTGTTGATTTGGCTGTCTGTGCTACTTTCTTGGTCTGTTTTTCTTTTTCTGCTTGCTCAAGCTTCTCTAGTGCTCTTTTTTCCAATTCTAACTTCTCCGCCTTCAGTGCACTACTTGCAAATTCATACCTGGAAAAAGACAAATGAAAGCATTGTAACTAAGTTGTAGCTACATCATGTGAAAACATAATTAAGATACTTTTGAGAGAAGGCAAGAACACAGTAATACTGTACACATTACGTGACAAATGCTGGCCATCTCCCACCAAGGCAGGGTGACCCAAAAAAAGAAAAACACTTTCACCATGTGAAAGTGCCACATTTTACACTGGTGACAATTGAATAGGTGACATTACTACCGAACCCTCAGGTCAAATACCAGACACTTGTCAATGTTACTTTAGATGTTAAGTGAACATTACTGATCTGCCACCCTCACAAAAAAAAAAAAAATGAATATGCTATAAAAGTGGGAGATGGCCTGCGTGTTAAAAAAAAAAAAATTAAAGATTTACTAATAAGTAACTAAGTATACATTAATCTAAGGGAATAATAGAATTTTTGTGTCACTAATAAAGACTCCAAGGTTAAATCTATACAAAACAGCCTCTCCTCACTTAGTGAAGTACTCATTTACCGATGACTCAGACTTACGATGGGCTCTCTGACCTGTGTGCATACCTAAATAATGTATATTAGAGCTGATTTCCTCTATTCTGTTTATTAGAATATATAGTACACTACTGTATAAACATTTAAAAATGTATCAGAAATGTTACAAATGGTGCAAAGGTGACATTAAAACAATATCAATGATGGTTGACACAAACCCACTACCACGAATTCGTTTACCGACATGGTCTTAGGAACGGAACTCCGCATTAAGTGAAGAGAGGCTGTACACTTTTTTATGGCTCATAACATCTGTGCCTCCTCACGATCATTGTAAAAAATGTGTGTGTCATATACCCAAAGCCTAAATAAAATCAAACTTTTCCTGCAATCAGCCTGGACCCTTCAGCAACAGGTTTTCAAGTATGATAATCAGACGAGTTTTCAAATTTGCTGTGATGTACGGTATTTTTCTATATAAAACATGTTGTATTACAACTGTACTTGACAGACTCCAGATTTAACATCTACAGCACTTATATAAATTAATTTCCCTATTATGCAAGCAAGGTCCTCACACTTCTTCAAACTATCACAACCCTTAACCCCAATGAAAATACAGCCTCTCCTTACTTAGCGATGTATTCATTTACTGACGACTCAGACTTACGACAGGCTCTCTGACCAATATGCATACCTAAATAATGTATATTAGAGCTGATTTCCTCTATTCTCTTTATTACAATATACAGTAAACTACTGTATAAACATTTAAAAATATACCAGAACTGATATAAATGGTCCAAAGGTGACATTAACCCTTTGAGGGTCGACAGGCCCTCTCTGAAACTTGTTCTCAGGGTTGGCCAAATTTAAAAAAAAAAATTATTTTTTCTTATGAAAAAATAGAGAATCTTTTCCTGATCATAATGACACCAAAAGTATAAAGTTTGCTGGAAAACTTACGGAATTATGCTCTCGCGAAGTTAGCGGTCTCGACTATATTTACGCATTGGCGAGTTTGTCCACTTTGAGCCCTATTTTCGGCCAATTCCAATGTACTACTCGACAAAAATCATAACTATTTTGCTAGAACTCCATTTTTTCTATCGAATGAGTACAAGAAACCACCCATTTACCAATTTCAACTATCCAATGAAGTGGTCAGAATTTAGCAATTTTGCCAATTTCGCACAAATTTCAAAAGATGCCAATTTCCGAATAGGGTCCAGAATAAACAAGAAAAACATTCCTGGCTCTAAAATAACAAGTTCTCTGTTCGTTAGTCACATCCCCAGGCCCCTCTTATATTTCTTTGGCTTTCTACTTTGAATTTTTATTATTACAAAAAATAGAAGATTTACTGTTATGCAGACTGCTGCATTAGTGTAGAAATGGTATAAATAATATCAGCGCAATTGTGAAACAATATTAGACTCACCAGTTGATGTGTCTTGGAAGCTTGGCATGATTTGTTTACTTTTGAACTTTGGTAAAAATCGAACATTTCTGCTACTTTGCGCTCAATTTCAATGTACTTTTCATTGTAAAACCAGTCAAAATCATCTCAATTTTTGTAATATGTCTTCCATTCTATAAAATGAGACCAAGAAAACTAGAATACAACAATAAATACCATAGGAAAAAACAGTGCAAAGTCGCTGTTTTATTCCAAAAACATGGTCAAAGGTTTTTTTTTCTCATTATGCACTGTGTGCTGCAGGATTTTTTTTATACGTACTGTGCACACTGATCACACAGACCCATTCTTTCATATGTAGGCCTACCAGCTTTCTCTCACTAGATTTGAGGGCGCTAGAATTTAGGCGTACTAGTACGTCAAAAACCCTGGGTCGTAAGCCATACTAGTACGGCCGAAACCCTCAAAGGGTTAAAACAATATCAAAGATGGTTGACACAAACCCACTACCATTATAGTATGCTCCTCACTTAGCGATGAATTTGTTTACCAACATGGTTTTAGGAATGGAACTCCATCTTTAAGTGTGGAGAGGCTGTACTCATAAATTTCCAATAAACTTTTATAGAACCCAAGAGGCCTGTGGAGCACAGTTTGAAAACTCCTGCATCAGAGAGAAACCAACATAGTACAAAACAAGAGGAGGGGGCCAACCTGCGATTAAGACTCTCCTGTAATTCTTCTGCTCTGGTAATCACTTTGACAGTTGTCTTGGGATCTAAGAGGCCATCATAGTACTTTTTATTTTTCTTATAATCGTCATGATTCTGTATTGTCTGAAAACAAAGCATGATATTAGATAAAGAACAAATACTCATGCAGTATTCTCTCTACATATTTCCTCTCTCTCACTATAAGACAGGTAGCTCATAAAGAACTCCCTACAAACATTATCACGCATATCTGCATGTGAGTGAAAAAATATTGGTTGCTATAATACACTAAATAATAATACATGATATGAAAAGCAATATGACAGTATAAATGAAGGGGCATAAGAAATAATCACAAATTCAGGATGATTGTGTACAGTTGACGGGTGAAAAAATAAATAAAAACAATAAATTTGCCTTTTTTGGACAGAAGAGGGGATGATGTGGTCACCACACATCATCAGAGGCCATGAGAAAACACATGCAGACAATCTTTTAGAATTACCAAGGTAAGCAAGAGAACATAATCTTAAAATAGATAAGCAGTATGAAAATAATTGGAAACCACTTGACAGTAGATGGTGACTGAAGTAAGCTCTGGGAGGGGGGTTACAGGCAGCAACTGCTGAAAAGTTTAAGATAATTATGACAAATTATTTAAAAAAAACTTGAATCACCACAAGCACAGCTCTACTCCTGTAACAAACATGGTAGGATTGCTGGTGCCCTTTTTTCTGTCTCATAAACATGCAAGATTTCAGGTATGTCTTGCTACTTCTACTTACACTTATGTCACACTACACATACATGTTCTTTCTTTCTTTCTTTCAACACACCGGCCGTATCCCACCGAGGCGGGGTGGCCCAAAAGGAAAAATGAAAGTTTCTCCTTTTACATTTAGTAATATATACAGGAGAAGGGATTACTAGCCCCTTGCTCCTGGCATTTTAGTCGCCTCTTACAACACGCATGGCTTACGGAGGAAGAATTCTGTTCCACTTCCCCATGGTATATATATGCTTGAGGATGTATGTGTCGTGTGACCTAAGTGTAAGTAGAAGTAGCAAGACGTACCTGAAACCTTGCGTGTTTGTGAGACAGAAAAATGGACACCAGCAATCCTACTATCATGTAAAACAATTACAGGCTTTCATTTTACACTCACTTGGCAAGACGGTAGTACCTCCCTGAGCGGTTGCTGTCTACCAACCTACTACCTAGGACACATACATGTACAAGCATATATATACACACCCCTCTGGGTTTTCTTCTATTTTCTTTCTAGTTCTTGTTCTTGTTTATTTCCTCTGACCTCCATGGGGAAGTGGAACAGAATTCTTCCTCCGTAAGCCATGCATGTTGTAAGAGGCAACTAAAATGCCGGGAGCAAGGGGCTAGTAACCCCTTCTCCTGTATATATTACTAAATGTAAAAGGAGAAACTTTCATTTTTCCTCTTTGGCCACCCCACCTTGGTGGGATACGGCCGGTGTGTTGAAAGAAAGATATACTATATACATATAAATATATAAATATAGATAGTAGGTTGGTAGACAGCAACCGCCCAGGGAGGTACTACCGTCCCGCCAAGTGAGTGCAAAACAGAAGCCTGTAATTGTTTTACATGATGGTAGGATTGCTGGTATCTTTTTTTTTTCTGTCGCATGAACATGCAAGGTTTCAGGTGCATCTTGCTACTTCTACTTACACTTATGTCACACTACACATACATGTACAAGCATATAGTCTATACACACCCCTCCGGGTTTTCTTCTATTTTCTTACTAGTTCATGTTCTTGTTTATTTCCTCTTACCTCCATGGGGAAGTGGAACAGAATTCTTCCTCCGTAAGCCATACATGTTGTAAGAGGTGACTAAAATGCCAGGAGCAAGGGGCTAGTAACCCCTTTTCCTGTATATATTACTAAATGTAAAAGGAGAAACTTTTGTTTTTCCTTTTGAGCCACCCCGACTCGGTGGGATACGGCCGGTGTGTTGAAAGAAAGAAAGAAATATATAAATATAAACAGTGGTACCCAGAGTTTCGGCCATAATTCGTTCCGGAAGGATGTTCGAGTGCCATTACCGAACGAATTTGCTCCCATAAGGAGTAACATAAATTAGATTAGTCCATTTCAGACCCCCAAAAATACACTTACAAAAGAAGCTACAATAATACACTTACATAATTGTTCGAGTTGGGAGCTGTATGAAACTCGGGGTACCACTGAATATTAATTACACAAATGTCTTTTTAATATGTTTGCTCTATAATATGTACTGTATATCAAACACCTACCAGAACAATTGAGAAATATCTCATGTAGAGGACATAGGCTTTTTCTTCATCTTTAATTCTGTCTAGAGAATCTGCCTCATTCAGAACTCGCTTAGCAGTGTTTACCAATCTGTAAATAAAGTATAACAGAGAACAATGATAAAACAGACACATGAATATCATCTCATATAAATTAAAAAGACAATTCTCCAGGCACAAAAGAAATACTAAAAGCAGAAATTTCCCTCTCACTATCCAACAATTTGGAGAGGAAACTTGGATGATGTCTTCATCCATCTTGGATCATGATCAAGCCACCACTAATAAGCTGTGTATTGGAAATGATCCAGGACAGACAGAACATTATCAGTTTCCTCTCCAAACTGTAGATTAGATTCCTTAAGTAAAAATGTAAATCCATTAATGTTTACTACTGCAGATGGCAATGAACAGATAGGTATGTTAATCCACCACATCTAGTGGCTAAATACTAGATGTCATCAACCATCTAGAGGATGCAAAAACCACTGCCTCTACTCTCCCTACCCCTGTAAATACTTAGAGCACTCTCTTCATTTCTTTGTAAGCTTATTTAGGCACAGTTACACACAAGTACAATTACCATATGTACTGTAAATTACCTAGGAAAACCCAAAAATTCAGACAAAGTGATTTATTTCCATTGGAGTCCTTGTATTCTGATGAAGAGGACTTTAGCTGTAGGTTACAATATACAGACTACCATTTTTCCTTGTTTAGTATCTCATGTGGGATTTCCTTTCAGATTCGAGTAATTGTTGAAAAGATATAGTATGGCCAAAAAATATGTAAAAACGAAATATGCAAAAAGGTTAATTTGTACATTAAAAATTTTGTACTGCTAATAACTTCAAGATTCACAAAGCCTCCAGGAACCTAACCCTTGAGAATTCTGAGGCTTAACTGTATTATGTTATCCCTAAACTATTCTTTATCTTAGATGCCAAAAATCTTTTAGTTTTGACTTGATAATGGTCTAGAATAAGCTGAAACATCATCTACTGTGGACTTGATTGCAAAAGTAGTTTCTTATGATTAACTACTTTAAAAAAAAATACCCTTAAATTTAAATGCTGATGTAATTTACATTCAGCAAATCCTCATATACATTTCACTAAAGAGTAAAAAGGCACAATACTATTACTGAAATAATACACAAGTAAGTATATTTCACTATTATTCACAGCTCACACTTACTGGTACCATAAGCAGATTATGGAAAATACTCTAAATTAAAAATCTGTTACAAAACTGACATGTTAATTTGATACTCACAACTTGGGTGAAGCTTTTGGAATTTCCTGAACATTAGTGTTTAACTCTTGAACAGATTTTGCCATGTACAGAGGTCGAGACAACCCTTTTTCTCCCATACTGGTTCACTGGAAAATGTCAATTAATAAGACACATTGCCATAAAATGCTATTACAGCCTCTCCTCACTTAATGGCAGAGTTTCGTTGCTAATACTGAGTCGGTAAACGAATTCGTCACTAGACGAGGAGCATACTAGTATAATGGTAGTGGATTTATGTCAACCATCCTTCATATTGCTTTAATGTCACCCTTGCACCATTTATAACATTTTAAGTATATTTTTAAATGTTTATACAGTAGTGTACTGTATATTGTAATAAACAGAACAGAGGAAATCAGCTCTAATATACGTACATTATTTGGGTATGCATACTGGTCAGAGAGCCTGTCGTAAGTCTGAGTCGTCAGTAAACGAGTACATTGCTAAGTGAGGAGAGGCTGTATAGTACTGTACTATTGTGTACTAAAAGGGTGAAAATGAATATAATGTATAGGAATTATATCAAAACTAGTACGTATTATACAATGAAACATCGATCTGACTAATGGGGGATGAGGGCTTAGTAATGCCAAGTGTCCATTAAATCCAAATAATGAGGATGATTTTCCTTGATCGTAACAATAATGGACAGCTCTAGAAATAAAAGACCACATCCACTAAATCCAAAATCTATTAAATCGAGGTTTTATTGTATTAGCATTGATTACATTACATACATTACATTGACTAATTGTGCCACAGCACAATTAGGCAATGTGCAACAGTGATATGCTGTATGAACTGTGGCAGAAATTAACATAATTTACTTTCTTATGCTATAACAGTCAAGAACAACACACATTATGTAGCTAGATAACACAAACTAGGGTCCCTGAAAGACTGAAATACTTTCAAGGAGCTGATGGGATATTGCACGTAAGTCAACAGAAAATGTTGTCGTTACAAAAGAGAAATACAGTAAATGGGGACAGTTTAATCAGGATGTTTCACCCACCTGTAGGTGAAATGCAATGAAAAAGGTGTGTGTGTGTATGTGTCTTTTAAGCCAATATGTGTCTTTTACATTTATTGGCTATGCCTACACCAACAACAAAATGTCAACTTTGTATTCAATCTATACAGTGTTAAGACAAGATTTGTTCGGATGTTTAACCCAGAGGATTAGCCACCCAGCATAACTCAATAAAGTCAGCATGTCATCAAAGACCGTCTGTCGTATTTCCACTGGGGTCCCTTAATCTCGTCCCCCAGGATGTGACCCACACCAGTCACATAACACCCAGGTGCCTACTTACTGCTAGGTGAACAGTAACATCGTAAGGAAACATACCCAACATTTCACCCATGCTGGGGATTGAACCATGGACCCTCAGCGAGCCGAGTGCCCTATCGACTGAGCTATGGGGGAAATTAAACCGAGGGCAGACCGATAAGTCCCTTCAGGACTTATCAGTCTGCCCTCGACTACGTCCTTCACTGGCCTGACCTGGACACGTCCCCACACCACAAAGACACAATAACTAATTAATATGAGAATTATAGATCCTCTGGTTTATTATTAATACCAAGGTATTCAAAGCTGATACCACGTTCGAAGTACACCACAAAAAATTAACTGCACCGACAACATACGAGCAATACTCCATTCTTATTTGTATTTTACATGGTGTACAATTAAATATTTGTACTGTAATACCTCTGAACACAACTTTGATAAAGAATTACCTATGATAACTAAATGTAATTAATTACCAAACTCACACTTATTTACTCACACAAAACTGTTTTATAATAAATAAGTTTATTTAGGTAAAATTTTTGGATGATTAGTAATATTTTTTATTTTATTATCACACTGGCCGATTCCCACCAAGGCAGGGTGGCCCGAAAAAGAAAAACTTTCACCATCATTCACTCCATTACTGTCTTGCCAGAAGGGTGCTTTACACTACAGTTTTTAAACTGCAACATTAACACCCCTCCTTCAGAGTGCAGGCACTGTACTTCCCATCTCCAGGACTCAAGTCCGGCCTGCCGGTTTCCCTGAACCCCTTCATAAATGTTACTTTGCTCACACTCCAACAGCACATCAAGTATTAAAAACCATTTGTCTCCATTCACTCCTATCAAACATGCTCACACATACCTGCTGGAAGTCCAAGCCCCTCGCACACAAAACCTCCTTTACCCCCTCCCTCCAACCTTTCCTAGGCCGACCCCTACCCGCCTTCCTTCCACTACAGACTGATACACTCTTGAAGTCACTCTGTTTCGCTCCATTCTCTCTACATGTCCGAACCACTTCAACAACCCTTCCTCAGCCCTCTGGACACCAGTTTTGGTAATCCCGCACCTCCTCCTAACTTCCAAACTACGAATTCTCTACATTATATTCACACCACACATTGCCCTCAGACATGACATCTCCACTGCCTCCAGCCTTCTCCTCGCTGCAACATTCATCACCCACGCTTCACACCCATATAAGAGCGTTGGTAAAACTATACTCTCATACATTCCCCTCTTTGCCTCCAAGGACAAAGTTCTTTGTCTCCACAGACTCCTAAGTGCACCACTCACCCTTTTCCCCTCATCAATTCTATGATTCACCTCATCTTTCATAGACCCATCCGCTGACACGTCCACTCCCAAATATCTGAATACATTCACCTCCTCCATACTCTCTCCCTCCAATCTGATATCCAATCTTTCATCACCTAATCTTTTTGTTATCCTTATAACCTTACTCTTTCCTGTATTCACTTTTAATTTTCTTCTTTTGCATACCCTACCAAATTCATCCACCAATCTCTGCAACTTCTCTTCAGAATCTCCCAAGAGCACAGTGTCATAAGCAAAGAGCAACTGTGACAACTCCCACTTTATGTGTGATTCTTTATCTTTTAACTCCACACCTCTTGCTAAGACCCTAGCATTTACTTCTCTTACAACCCCATCTATAAATATATTAAACAACCACGGTGACATCACACATCCTTGTTTAAGGCCTACTTTTACTGGGAAATAATTTCCCTCTTTCCTACATACTCTAACTTGAGCCTCACTATCCTCGTAAAAACTCTTCACTGCTTTCAGTAACCTACCTCCTACACCATACACTTGCAACATCTGCCACATTGCCCCCCTATCTACCCTGTCATACGCCTTTTCCAAATCCATAAATGCCACAAAGACCTCTTTAGCCTTATCTAAATACTGTTCACTTATATGTTTCACTGTAAACACCTGGTCAACACACCTCCTACCTTTCCTAAAGCCTCCTTGTTCATCTGCTATCCTATTCTCCGTCTTACTCTTAATTCTTTCAATAATAACTCTACCATACACTTTACCAGGTATACTCAACAGACTTATACCCCTATAATTTTTGCACCCCTTTTATCCCCTTTGCCTTTATACAAAGGAACTATGCATGCTCTCTGCCAATCCCTAGGTACCTTACCCTCTTCCATACATTTATTAAATAATTGCACCAACCACTCTCAAAACTATATCCCCACCTGCTTTTAACATTTCTATCTTTATCCCATCAATCCCGGCTGCCTTACCCCCTTTCATTTTACCTACTGCCTCACGAACTTCCCCCACACTCACAACTGGCTCTTCCTCACTCCTACAAGATGTTATTCCTCCTTGTCCTATACACGAAATCACAGCTTCCCTATCTTCATCAACATTTAACAATTCCTCAAAATATTCCCTCCATCTTCCCAATACCTCTAACTCTCCATTTAATAACTCTCCTCTCCTATTTTTAACTGACAAATCCATTTGTTCTCTAGGCTTTCTTAACTTGTTAATCTCACTCCAAAACTTTTTCTTATTTTCAACAAAATTTGTTGTAATATATGTGTAACAATTATAGGTAGTAGGTTGGTAGACAGCAACCACCCAGGGAAGTACTACCGTCCTGCCAGATGACTGTGAAACAAAAACCTGTAACTGTTTTGCATGATGGTAGGATTGCTGGTTTTCTTTTTCTGTCTCATAAACACGCTAGATAACAGGGATATCTTGCTACTCCTACTTACACTTTGGTCACACTTCACAGACACGCACATGCATATATATATATACATACATCTAGGTTTTTCTCCTTTTTCTAAATAGCTCTTGTTCTTTTTTTTATTTCTTCTATTGTCCATGGGGAAGTGGAAAAGAATCTTTCCTCCGTAAGCCATGCGTGTCGTATGAGGCGACTAAAATGCCGGGAGCAATGGGCTAGTAACCCCTTCTCCTGTATACATTTACTAAAAAAGAGAAGAAGAAAAACTTTATAAAACTGGGATGCTTAAATGTGCGTGGATGTAGTGCGGATGACAAGAAACAGATGATTGCTGATGTTATGAATGAAAAGAAGTTGGATGTCCTGGCTCTAAGCGAAACAAAGCTGAAGGGGGTAGGAGAGTTTCAGTGGGGGGAAATAAATGGGATTAAATCTGGAGTATCTGAGAGAGTTAGAGCAAGGAAGGGGTAGCAGTAATGTTAAATGATCAGTTATGGAAGGAGAAAAGAGAATATGAATGTGTAAATTCAAGAATTATGTGGATTAAAGTAAAGGTGATGCGAGAATGGGTCATAATAAGCGTGTATGCACCTGGAGAAGAGAGGAATGCAGAGGAAAAGAGAGAGAGTTTAGGGGATGTTAAGTGAATGTATAGGAGCCTTTGAACCAAGTGAGAGAGTAATTGTGGTAGGGGACCTGAATGCTAAAGTAGGAGAAACTTTTAGAGAGGGTGTGGTAGGTAAGTTTGGGGTGCCAGGTGTAAATGATAATGGGAGCCCTTTGATTGAACTTTGTATAGAAAGGGGTTTAGTTATAGGTAATACATATTTTAAGAAAAAGAGGATAAATAAGTATACAAGATATGATGTAGGGCAAAATGACAGTACAGTGGACCCCCGCTTAACGATCACCTCCAAATGCGACCAATTATGTAAGTGTATTTATGTAAGTGCGTTTGTACGTGTATGTTTGGGGGTCTGAAATGGACTAATCTACTTCACAATATTCCTTATGGGAAAAAATTCGGTCAGTACTGGCACCTGAACATACTACTGGAATGAAAAAAGTTCGTTAACCGGGGGTCCACTGTAGTTTGTTGGATTATGTATTGGTAGATAAAAGACTGTTGAGTAGACTTCAGGATGTACATGTTTATAGAGGGGCCACAGATATATCAGATCACTTTCTAGTTGTAGCTACACTGAGAGTAAAAGGTAGATGGGATACAAGGAGAATAGAAGCATCAGGGAAGAGAGAGGTGAAGGTTTATAAACTAAAAGAGGAGGCAGTTAGGGTAAGATATAAACAGCTATTGGAGGATAGATGGGCTAATGAGAGCATAGGCAATGGGGTCGAAGAGGTATGGGGTAGGTTTAAAAATGTAGTGTTAGAGTGTTCAGCAGAAGTTTGTGGTTACAGGAAAGTGGGTGCAGGAGGGAAGAGGATGCGATTGGTGGAATGAGATGTAAAGAGAGTAGTAAGGGAGAAAAAGTTAGCATATGAGAAGTTTTTACAAAGTAGAAGTGGATGCAAGGAGGGAAGAGTATATGGAGAAAAAGAGAGAGGTTAAGAGAGTGGTGAAGCAATGTAAAAAGAGCAAATGAGAGAGTGGGTGAGATGTTATCAACAAATTTTGTTGAAAATAAGAAAAAGTTTTGAAGTGAGATTAACAAGTTAAGAAAGCCTAGAGAACAAATGGATTTGTCAGTTAAAAATAGGAGAGGAGAGTTATTAAATGGAGAGTTAGAGGTATTGGGAAGATGGAGGGAATATTTTGAGGAATTGTTAAATGTTGACGAAGATAGGGAAGCTGTGATTTCGTGTATAGGGCAAGGAAGAATAACATCTTGTAGGAGTGAGGAAGAGCCAGTTGTGAGTGTGGGGAAGTTCGTGAGGCAGTAGGTAAATGAAAGGGGGTAAGGCACCGGATTGATGGGATAAAGATAGAATGTTAAAAGCAGTTGGGGATATAGTTTTGGAGTGGTTGGTGCAATTATTTAATAATGTATGGAAGAGGGTAAGGTACCTAGTGGTTGGCAGAGAGCATGCATAGTCCTTTGTATAAAGGCAAAGGGGATAAAAGAGAGTGCAAAAATTATAGGGGGATAAGTCTGTTGAGTGTACCTGGTAAAGTGTATGGTACAGTTATAATTGAAAGAATTAAGAGTAAGACGGAGAATAGGATAGCAGATGAACAAGGAGGCTTTAGGAAAGGTGGGGGGTGTGTGGACCAGGTGTTTACAGTGAAACATATAAGTGAACAGTATTTAGATAAGGCTAAAGAGTCTTTGTGGCATTTATGGATTTGGAAAAGGCGTATGACAGGGTAGATAGGGGGGCAATGTGGCAGATGTTGCAAGTGTATGGTGTAGGAGGTAGGTTACGGGAAAGCAGTGAAGAGTTTTTACGAGGATAGTGAGGCTCAAGTTAGAGTATGTAGGAAAGAGGGAAATTTTTTCCCAGTAAAAGTAGGCCTTAGACAAGGATGTGTGATGTCACCGTGGTTGTTTAATATATTTATAGATGGGGTTGTAAGAGAAGTAAATGCGAGGGTCTTGGCAAGAGGCGTGGAGTTAAAAGATAAAGAATCACACATAAAGTGGGAGTTGTCACAGCTGCTCTTTGCTGATGACACTGTGCTTTTGGGGGATTCTGAAGAGAAGCTGCAGAGATTGGTGGATGAATTTGGTAGGGTGTGGGAAAAGAAGAAAATTAAAGGTGAATACAGGAAAGAGTAAGGTTATGAGGATAACAAAAAGATAGGTGATGAAAGATTGAATATCAAATTGGAGGGAGAGAGTATGGAGGAGGTGAACGTATTCAGAATTGGGAGTGGACGTGTCAGCGGATGGGTCTATGAAAGATGAGGTGAATCATAGAATTGATGAGGGAAAAAGAGTGAGTGGTGCACTTAGGAGTCTTTGGAGACAAAGAACTTTGTCCTTGGAGGCAAAGAGGGAATGTATGAGAGTATAGTTTTACCAACGCCTTATATGGGTGTGAAGCGTGGGGGATGAATGTTGCAGCGAGGAGAAGGCTGGAGGCAGTGGAGATGTCATGTCTGAGGGCAATGCGTGGTGTGAATATAATGCAGAGAATTCGTAGTTTGGAAGTTAGGAGGAGGTGCGGGATTACCAAAACTGTTGCCCAGAGGGCTGAGGAAGGGTTGTTGAGGTGGTTCGGACATGTAGAGAGAATGGAGCGAAACAGAATGACTTCAAGAGTGTATCAGTCTGTATGGAAGGAAGGCGGGGTAGGGTCGGCCTAGGAAGGGTTGGAGGGAGGGGGTAAAGTGGTTTTGTGTGCGAGGGGCTTGGACTCCAGCAGGCATGCGTGAGCGTTTTTGATAGGAGTGAATGGAGACAAATGGTTTTTAATACTTGATGTGCTGTTGGAGTGTGAGAAAGTAACATTTATGAAGGGGTTCAGGGAAACCGGCAGGCCGGACTTGAGTCCTGGAGATGGGAAGTACAGTGCCTGCACTCTGAAGGAGGGGTGTTAATGTTGCAGTTTAAAAACTGTAGTGTAAAGCACCCTTCTGGCAAGACAGTGATGGAGTGAATGATGGTGAAAGTTTTTCTTTTTCGGGCCACCCTGCCTTGGTGGGAATCGGCCAGTGTGATAATAAAAATAATAAAACTAATTATCTAGGATAATAAAAATAAAGAGACTGATTATGAACTTAATTATTAGATATATTAAAAACCAGTGACCATTATTATCAAAACCAAAATAAATTGAGTGCATAAACCGCATGAAAATTAATTTAATTTAAAAGATATATAATAAAATAAATTAAAAAAATTAGTTGAATGTAAGTTACATTGTATAAAAAAATTATTTTTCCTACTTTGAATAATTCTCGTCCTCGCACTGAGGTCCTCTTCAGTGGTTAACTGGAGAGCACTATATCTGCATGGGTCACACAGCCCCTCCAGAATTATGGGCAAGGGTGTTCCAAGGAGGTGGAGAATATCTCCAATTGTCTGGATCAAGAGCTCTTTGGCAGCACAAGTAACACTACACGAAAGCCAATTGCTAATGGAATTTTATTAATGGGGAAGCGCTAAGCCCACAGGGACCACGCAGCGCCTGGGGGGGGGTGGGGGGAACGGGAAGTAATCAAGTCTCATCTAAGAGTAGAAGTACTCAAATCCCTCGGATCAAAAGCCAGAGGAATCCCCCTCCGTGACCAACAGCTACATCTAACCACTATTAACCTCAAACTTACTTTGACGTCAGTGAAATACAGCTCACGTTGATGCCAGGTCAATAAAGCTTATCTCTGAGGCTATGACAGTGCCCAGCAGGTGCCAGCAAGTGCCAGCAGGTGCCAGTAGATCACAGAATGAAGAAATAACAAGAGTAAATAGGATTACTAAGACGTCAGAAACACAACGCTTAACCTCGCACTACCATGACTCACATCATTCATAGAAAACCTTGTGATAATTCACACTTATGGGGAAACTTTTGTATTTTCAAGGAATATTTTTCCTAGTTTTTAGTTTAGTTAGTTTAATATCTTCATTATGCGCCCCATCCTGTGGGCGGTAGTCAAAAAATTACAGAGGTATATATGAACGGTTACGAATACGGTGCTCTTAGCACCAATTTCAAGGCTGAAGGACTGATTATCTCATCTTTTGTATATAGTTCTACTGTCTTCTAATCATGTCCTAGAATTTGCATTGATAAAGCCACTGGTTGGCGAAACGTCTACAATAAAGATACCCAGATGTTGCACATGTGTCTAAATTTTTCAGATTACAGAGGTACATAATGGGTCCAGGGACTGGGCCCCAAAGTTTTGATAGATGAATAAGTTACGAAGGTAATGAACTCCAGGTAGATCTGGTCACAATCATGACCAAGTTACAAGGTAGATCTGGTCACAGTCATGACCAAATTACAAGGTAGATCTGGTCACAGTCATGACCAAGTTACAAGGTAGATCTGGTCACAGTCATGACCAAGTTACAAGGTAGATCTGGTCACAGTCATGACCAAGTTACAAGGTAGATCTGGTCACAGTCATGACCAAGTTACAAGGCAGATCTGGTCACAGTCATGACCAAGTTACAAGGTAGATCTGGTCACAGTCATGACCAAGTTACAAGGCAGATCTGGTCACAATCATGACAAGTTATTTTCCTAGTAATTAAGTTCATTCAGGTATACACAAATACAGTTACAAAGATTATGACGCTGATTTAGAAAGACACGTAAGCAAACACTATGACATGTTTATCAGAAAACGTTTCGGCCCTGGGACCTTGACCACTTCTAACATACAGAGGTAAAAAGACATTATATATAGGCAGAGAGTGAGGTGTGAGTGACGCATGGTGACCTGAAGAATGTCATGTTGGGATGAGGACGGATAGACGATGGTCACCATGCCTCACTCACACCTCACTTTCCGCCTATACATAATGTCTTTTTACCTCTGTATGTTAGAAGTGGTCAAGGTCCCAGGACCGAAACGTTTTCTAATAAATATGTCATAGTGTTTGCTAACGTGTCTTTCTAAACCAACTTGTCAGTATTTATTATCAGGGTTCATACCATAGATTATCACACATATCAGCATATGCGTAGAGAGCCTAGGATAGCCCCAAAAAGTCAGACAAAGTGACTTTTATTAGGGTCCTTTTAATACTTTATTACTGTACTGTAAAAGAGATTATATCTTATTATTATAATAATATATTATTATTATTATTACCTATTGTTAGTAGGTAAATAAGCAAGATTATTCAGGTACAGGTATACACAAATACAGTTACATAGATTATCATACATAGCAGCATATTACCTGGAGTTTACCTGGAGAGAGTTCCGGGGGTCAACGCCCCCGCGGCCCGGTCTGTGACCAGGCCTCCTGGTGGATCAGAGCCTGATCAGCCAGGCTGTTGCTGCTGGCTGCACGCAAACCAACGTACGAGCCACAGCCCGGCTGATCCGGAACTGACTTTAGGTGCTTGTCCAGTGCCAGCTTGAAGACTGCCAGGGGTCTGTTGGTAATCCCCCTTATGTGTGCTGGGAGGCAGTTGAACAGTCTTGGGCCCCTGACACTTATTGTATGGTCTCTTAACGTGCTAGTGACACCCCTGCTTTTCATTGGGGGGATGGTGCATCGTCTGCCAAGTCTTTTGCTTTCGTAGTGAGTGATTTTCGTGTGCAAGTTCGGTACTAGTCCCTCTAGGATTTTCCAGGTGTATATAATCATGTATCTCTCCCTCCTGCGTTCCAGGGAATACAGGTTTAGGAACCTCAAGCGCTCCCAATAATTGAGGTGTTTTATCTCCGTTATGCGCGCCGTGAAAGTTCTCTGTACATTTTCTAGGTCGGCAATTTCACCTGCCTTGAAAGGTGCTGTTAGTGTGCAGCAATATTCCAGCCTAGATAGAACAAGTGACCTGAAGAGTGTCATCATGGGCTTGGCCTCCCTAGTTTTGAAGGTTCTCATTATCCATCCTGTCATTTTTCTAGCAGATGCGATTGATACAATGTTATGGTCCTTGAAGGTGAGATCCTCCGACATGATCACTCCCAGGTCTTTGACGTTGGTGTTTCGCTCTATTTTGTGGCCAGAATTTGTTTTGTACTCTGATGAAGATTTAATTTCCTCATGTTTACCATATCTGAGTAATTGAAATTTCTCATCGTTGAACTTCATATTGTTTTCTGCAGCCCACTGAAAGATTTGGTTGATGTCCGCCTGGAGCTTTCGCAGTGTCACAAATGGAAGACACTGTCATGCAGATTCGGGTGTCATCTGCAAAGGAAGACACGGTGCTGTGGCTGACATCCTTGTCTATGTCGGATATGAGGATGAGGAACAAGATGGGAGCGAGTACTGTGCCTTGTGGAACAGAGCTTTTCACCGTAGCTGCCTCGGACTTTACTCTGTTGACGACTACTCTCTGTGTTCTGTTAGTGAGGAAATTATAGATCCATCGACCGACTTTTCCTGTTATTCCTTTAGCACGCATTTTGTGCGCTATTACGCCATGGTCACACTTGTCGAAGGCTTTTGCAAAGTCTGTATATATTACATCTGCATTCTTTTTGTCTTCTAGTGCATTTAGGACCTTGTCGTAGTGATCCAATAGTTGAGACAGACAGGAGCGACCTGTTCTAAACCCATGTTGCCCTGGGTTGTGTAACTGATGGGTTTCTAGATGGGTGGTGATCTTGCTTCTTAGGACCCTTTCAAAGATTTTTATGATATGGGATGTTAGTGTTATTGGTATTATTATTATAATCAAGGGGGAAGCGCTAAACCCGGAGGATTATACAGCTACAGCATATGTGTAGAGAACCTAGGATAACCCAAGAAAGTCAGACGAAGTGACTGGAGTTTACCTGGAGAGAGTTCCGGGGATCAACGCCCCCGCGGCCCGGTCTGTGACCAGGCCTCCTGGTGGGTCAGAGCCTGATCAACCAGGCTGTTACTGCTGGCTGCACGCAATCCAACGTACGAGCCACAGCCCGGCTGGTCAGGTACCGACTTTAGGTGTTTTTCCAGTGCCTGCTTGAAGACAGCCAGGGGTCTATTAGTAATCCCCCTTATGTATGCTGGGAGACAGTTGAACAGTCTCGGGCCCCTGACACTTATTGTATTGTCTCTTAACGTGCTAGTGACACCCCTGTTTTTCATTGGGGGGATGTTGCATCCTCTGCCGAGTCTTTTGCTTCTCACACCATCCAAAATGCTGCCAGTAAACTATTTCAACACTGATTTAAAATAATAACACAACTATTAAACTAATAATAAACCTACATCACAGAATGGAACCTCAGTGGGCTGCAGATGTTGCGTAGATTTCCGATCGATAAAGTAACAGATTATGTACGGCCTCAGTCGATTCGAAAAGTATTGGAGTGACACATCATTGTACTGGAGATGTGGAAAAGTCAAGGAGTGATGGGGACAACTTGAGCTGGGTTTTTGAAGAAGATGGTGGACCGGAGATACTGAGACCGGGAGAATCCCCTAAGCTCACTTCAAACCCCAAGGAGGTACCCAGATTCATTTCAGATCCAACGGAGTTACCCAGCGAGCTTCCAAATCTCACCTCAGAGCCTTCAGGGGGCCCTGACACCAGAGAAGAAGCTACAGGGCCTGATGACCCACTCTTTGGCCTGAGGAGATAAAAAAATTCACTTGAAATTGCTGAAAGGTTTAGGTGTGATGACAAAAAAAATCATAATCGGTATTTGTAATGGTTGTTAGTTTACAAAAAATATTACCTCTGATCAACAAGTTGTGAAAATTATTTCTCCGAGTATAAGTTGTGTCCTAGTTTGTCAGACAATAAACAGGCTATAAACTGACAGGAACTGTTACATAACAACAGAAAAATAACAAAGACTATATTTTCATTTCAATTTACAGAAAATAACGTGTTTGATTTAATTAATTTGACTTTTAACTATGATTTTCAGCCAGTGGGAACGTTTGAGAGAGTAAAAAGGCACAATATCGTACTGGAACGGTACACAAATAACCTGTACATATCTAGGATCTGGCTTTGTGGATAAAGTACTACATACTTTGATGTAAGTGTGAAGGTTTGAATCCTACTGTTTATTGAGATAATATTTACATATCTGTGTGTTGAGAGAGTCTAACCTGGCGCGGCTGACACTGAGATGGCCAGAGGACACTTGCACCTCGCCGACCAAGGAACCATATTGCTCGCTAGGGAAAACAAAGGTCTCTACCTCCCTGGTGTTGTTGTTGTTGTTGTTTGTCCGTCGATTCGACGAGGACCATCTAGTCATCCTGGGGTCGAAGTTGGTGGGTACGCAGATGACTTGTCAGGCCAATCCGCGCACGAAACGTTCTCTGGCAGTGTGGACAGGGAAGGGTGGCGGCATCGAGGGGTCTGATGGCTCTGGTCTTCCTCGCCTGCCTGCGCTGCTCAGCTAGTCGGTTTTTCAAACCATTCATCACAACTAATGAGATTCTGCTTGCCTCGCAGGATGTTGCCCCTTTCTGGACAACTGCTCGCCAGTCATTCCTGTCCTGAGCTATCAGCTCCCACATGGTGTGGTTGATGTTGAAAGCTTTCAGAGCAGTCTTAAGGGTGTCCTTATAGCGCTGGTACCGTCAGCTAACACAGCATCGTCGTCACCTCCCTGTGAACGACACACCACCAGTGCCAGACTCTCAAACACAACATTCAATGTAATAGTTATGCGACTGTGACCCCTCATATGCAAAATGACTATAATCATAACCATAATTTTTAAAGGGGTGAACACTGGTAAGCCAGTGGAAGGCCTCGGTCAGATGACCAAACAGTCCAATTGTGGGTCATCATATGACTAATACCCACGTCAGGCAACACTTGTCCTGTTTCCTGACAAGCCTAACCTAACCTAACCTGTTATCCCTCTTAA